GAAGGCATTACCCTCAATACGTCTAGGAACATTCCAAGATAGTTGGAGTGGGTAATCAAGTTGACCAGAAGGGAAGAATTTCTCTGCTGGTCAAGGATCCCTAAGAGGTTTAGCAACACCAGGGCAGAGACTCTGCAACTCTCGCTGCTGCCGTACGCATCATCGCAGATAGTTTCCATGAGTGTAGGCCCTGCAGCCTTGACGGTGCTGTGCGCGTGCTCCTTGAATCGGTCATCTGTTGAACTAGATGCTGTAATCCGGGCGAGATGTTTCGAGGATATTTGATATAGAGATTCTCGGAGTGTGATGTTGTCGGAAGTTTGCGGGATGCCGCTTGTGCAGACTTGGAACAAGTAGTCCAATCTCTCATCGATCACATCCCCGTTTGTATCGGTGGGTATCTCATCAAGCTTGTCAATGAGAGTCTCACCGAGGTGGGCCAGTTCAATAGCTTCCGCTGGGGTTTCGACTATTGATGACTCAAACTTTGGTAGTATCAGTTGCAGTGTTTGCTGAATGAAGGAAGCCATGTATGTAGGGTCCATTTTGCAAGTGGCAGTAATGATGGTCACTAGATCTGTCCACGCCTTTAAGGCAACAAACCGATTGAATTGAACATAACGGAATTCGTTAGTAGCACTTAAAAATAGTAAAAGTTTCTCCTTCTCAGCCATGATTTGCTCCTCGTTTTGTGATGTCACTACACCATCGGCAACGAGATCCTCTTTCACAAGCTGAAGGAGTTCTTGTAGTGCTTCAATGTCATAAAGCACAACCACTCCGTTTTCCTCCGTCTTCACGCAACTTTCAACGTTGACGCTACCAAAGAACTGCAATTCAGGCCATGTATAAGAAAAGCCGACATCAATATCAGCAAAATCGAAAAGATCAAACAAAGAGGGATGTTCGACGCTCTGGTCACCCTCGACTGATGTTGTTCCCATAATTGTCCGTAAAGTATCCCTCTGGACAGATGGAGAGCCTTGCTTATACACAGCCCGCACCTCTGTCGTTGCATATTCATAAAGTAGTGTGCGAAGCATGAGCAGCTCAGATAGCGAGCTGGGTGACGATGACAGCCAGAAATCAGGCTCGTTTGTTCGGAAGTCGTCCCATAACGTCTCTGCGGTAACAACTGGTTGAGACATGAAGAGCACTGGTAAAAGTTGACCTGCGCGGAGATGCGGTAAAGTAAGATTAGATGAAAGAGGTGAGGCCCACAGGTTCAGTAAAACTTGGAAACCCAAACATCTTAGATGTATCATCCAGGATATAACTGCCCCATCCATTCCAAGAGGATAAGCCTTAACAAACTCGAGTATAGAGTGTAAAAGGGAAATCCCATTTTCAAACAAGCCATCTGGTGGGATGTCGAGGGTATTACCAAGGCAGGAGAAACCAAGAAGGAGATGAGCAATTGTTGGCTTCTCAGGAGACATCTTGAGGCACTTATCCAGTAGCTGAAGTAGTCCCATCTTAATAAGGTAGCCGGATGATTCTGGACCACTCTCTAGTTCCCGAATATCTACATCTATTTGGGAGGCTAGTGATCGGGCTACTCGGTCTGCTTCAACATTGGAGTTCAACTGTTCAACCATCTGGTTTGTAGATTGCCATCGAGATGAGATATTTGAAGATTTGTTTAACTTTCTGGAAGCTGACAGCTTTTCCAAAAGAGCCAGTGAAGTTAGCGTCAGTTGAGGATGCCCCGTCCCGCAATAAAGACATAGGTCAGAAATCAACCCTAAGTTATCAATAACACAGTCTTCAAAAGATGCAAGGGTAGAATTGGCGATGTTGAAAGAAGAGTCTTGCCCGGAGCTTTTGATTATTGGTCGAACAATATTGAAGTATGTGGGCTGGTGGTCGAGAATTAGATTCATGATATCAATACTCCGGACCAAGCTGGAAATCAGTATGGAGTCTGAAGAAGCCTTGGACACCCCATCTGCATCTCTGTGAGAGCAAGAAAATAAGACTCTGAGCACATCTTCGTTGAAAAGCCATTCCATAACACGTGAAAATGGATGTAATCGAAGGTATGTTGAGAATGTCACTTTCCAGTTTGGCTGTGCGGATATTGACGGCTGACTGACAATGCTAACAAGATTCTCGTTGAAGGACTCTAGAGCAGTAGCAGCAAAATTCATGCAATTCCACTGCAAGAGATGTGACTCCTTGTCTTCAGCCATGACACTTCTGTTTGCGAAAGCCTGGCCCATTACATAATCGACATAAGGCTCAATACCAGGCATTCGGTACGTGGAGCCCAACGACTCAGGGAATGGCAGGGTCAATTGTGAATCCAATGAATCGGATACAGGACCAACCAGCTGGTTAAGCATTTCAACAAACGCATTCATCTGATCAAAGCTCTCTGTGATGCGTTGGAAAGCATGCCGCTCGTTCCGTACTTGTGGGCTAGACAAGGGGGGTAGCGGAGAAAGTGCCAGTGGAAGAGAGCCTGAGCCAGAGATACAGTTGTCCAGAGAAGTCCACATTTCGTTTGAATGGGCTGACGTCCGGTCTATCATTAAACATCGCAGAGTAACAAAGATAGCTGCCCGAAGATGCTGAGGGATTGACGCACCACAAAGAGTGAGAAGTACCGAGATCAAGTTGGTGGTTTGATGTTGCAGAATCCATTCACGAATTTTACTATTCTCCCGGGACAGATGGCTGATGAGACGTAGGTAGCTGGTAAGCATAATTGGGCTCTCGGGCTCCTCAATATCTGGGACTTCCAATTTACGGAGGCGTAGTGTAGAAGACTGGGTCGTTGAGGGGCGCTCAGTAATTCTCACAGCATAGAGTTGAATTTCGGCGAACATTTGAGTCCAGTTCATAGAAGCCGACCTTCGAAACTTTGCAGAAGATAGAGAATCCTCGTCAATGAGGAATTTATGTGCCGCGGCCGAATTCTCTTCCCCACCTGAAATAGAGCATAACATCTCGCAAAATGCACTGGCCCGGGGAACGGTTTGACGTTTTGATACCCATTGAAGGAATCCGTATAAATTACCGTCAGGGTCCAACCAAAACTCTTGAGCAGCATCATTCCTGCCGTCGAAGGAGAACGCGATTATAGTTAGTAAACATTCTAAATGCATGCGAACCTCTACGGGACCCCGGTGGAGATTTGGAGAAACTGAGTCCCTGAGCGCAGTAATCTGATCCAATCGCTGGGTATCTTCTTCCGACTTCAGCATTCGGATAGCATCGGGCATGTTTGCAATCAGAGACTCGGTGAATCCTTCAATACTCTCCATGAGTAAGGAATGGAAATATGGCGAGGGAGCGTCGGGTTCGAGAGTCAGACGGGCCGCATCCTTTAGTAGAAGTGTAACCAGCTCGTTCCTTTCTGCATTTTTCCATTCATCCAAACCAACTCCAGCGCAAATGCTTAGAATAAAGTGAAAACCGCCGTCCTCGAGGGCAGCGAGAAGTGATTTTGATAGCTTGGCGGACTCTTCGGCAGAATTTAAACCTTGAATCGGTCCAGCCGCCGTGCTATCAAAGTACCAGCCACTATACTCCGCTAGCCAAAAGACTATGGTGGCAGCGTGAAACTGGGGGAGTACCCAGCCTTGGGAGTCCTTTGACTCAACAATCACTTTGTGTAAGGATCTTGCGTCTTCAATCCCCTGACCTTCCGATGAGCCATATTGGGAGGCCGCAGTTATGATTGAGGGGACATAATGGACGAGTAGCATGTCAAATTTGTCGACCTTTTTCGTTTTCTCCATGAGTTTGCGGAAGTCTTCAGAGCTTGTGTAGGTGCCTTTGAAGAGGTAGGACACGATGGCTCCTAAAGATTCATGCTGTTTCCCAAGACTTTGCTTTTGATATTCAATAACTTCAAGAATATCAGCTTCCTGAGACTGCCCAACAATTGATGCCTTTTGTATCTGTTCCCCCAAAAGAACCAACCACTTTTCGATGTCTGTCATCGCGTCCATGCATTTCCTAGCAAATAGCGAGCCATTCCGTAAAGGGCCGTTCTGTATTTCAAGTACCGATGCAACATATTCCTTCATTAAGAGCTGAGTTTCTTCCCGTTCTACCTCAAAAGACTCGTGAAGGATGAGCCTCAGGCACTCTAGAACGAACTCTCTTTGTTCGTGAAAACGGATTATAGAGCTGACGATTGGCGATCGATCTAGCTTCTTAGCATCGGATTGTGCACGAATATAATAGCGCGCAGCCTCAATTTCATCGACGTCCAAAGCATCTGCCACCTGCAATACTTCTTGCTGGAACTCCGCGTTGACCTCATATTCGACATCGTCAAGCTTAATTTTGCCTAAAGAAAGCAAGCATCAGCAAAGAGCCGCGAGCATTAGTGTCGCAACGCCTATCCAACCCCAAGATGCCTACCTGAAAGAACAGTCTTTCTGCTGTCGTTGTTTTTGGCTGGCTTGTCTAACAGCCTGCGGAAGTCCTCAAGTGTTGCTTCCAACTCGGCCACAAGCCTCTCTGCATTGGGAAGAGCAAACCTGGACGAGGCTGACAGGTCCTGATATAGGCCCCGTAAGTTGCCAGAACTCTCATCGCCCTCCATTATGAACTCCGCGTGTCGTTGCTGAGGTCCAGGGCGTCCTTTTTTCCAATGTTATTTATTGTTGAAGCAGAAAGATCAAAGTAAGTTTAACTTACTTGAAGGTTAGGGACAAAAGCCAAACGCGACAAACACGCCAAGGCCGTTTAACTAGACGGGCCAAGCCTAAAAAAGAAACCAGGACGACGTGCGAGGCACAACGCGAACTAACTAGTTAGTAGTTAGTCACCTAATTATTAGCTACACAGCTGCACCAGCGGCTACATTATTAGTTGATTGGAATTGACATGGACGACGATGGAGCTAAGTCTCGCACCGAGTTTTTTCTGAAGTTCAACTCCTAATATTGACATCTTTGGACTGCATTGAAAACAAACGAATGAAATGTCGGCCTGCTGGGGATACCAATCATTAATTATACCTATGAGTTGAGAGCGCCATCATGGGAGAAGTTAGTGTTGATCAGGCAGTCAATTTGATATCCTCTGGGAGGCTCAAAGATCGGATAGATGGACTTGAAGGTGACACCCCAGTTTGTCGTCCGGTGTTAATTGACTGGCTAACTTTTTGTGTAGATCTCAAACACATCTTGCTTCAAAACAGGCGCTCTCCTAGACTGTATGTTATAAAATCGCCAGCAGCTGGGTCCTGTAACCGCATGTGGTGACTTACACTTATCTATAGGGGCTCTTTGAACGATAAAGTATATCACGGTATCTTTGAGACTCTTTTCCGATTTATTGCTATTGAGAAATCGACGTTCAGTAAAGCGAATCGAGCTGTCTCCAAAACGCAAGCAGCAAGCAGACTGGCAAAATGCGCTGGTGTCATTAGAACTGCAGCTGAAGTCTCCCTACGTCGGATTAGGACGAAAACTGTGATTGCTCTTGTTAACCATGTTATTGATTCATTGACAATCCCTGGGGAAGGGTTATGGGAATCTCTAAGTGCAGATTACATAAAAACCCTGCGAGTGATTCTACAATATCCACCCCATGTTGAACATCTTTCCAAAGATGTCTGGTGTGATCTGCTAGAATTCTGCCTCCAGGGCCTTGGACTTGCAGGGGATAGCAACTCGCTACAGATGAGCATCCGGCGAGGCCGATCCATACCACCAGAAGAGTTCAGCCAGAGTAGCCGTTCAACTCCCCATCCAACATCGGCACAATCCTCTTACCCATCGTCTAAACAAGATTCAAGGGGCAGCTCTGAGGATCTTGAAGTCTGCATACAGCTGTTAGTCGCTTGTCCAGGTATGCCAGTGCTCGAGAATGCACCGAAACTATTTCATAATCTTTCAAAATATATAGCTTCACTAAATCCAATGGGAAGCGCACCCCATGCAGCTTTCACTGCTCTTAACACGACCCTCTCTATCGCTATCTTGGAGAACATTACTCTTGTTCAAGATACCCTTTGCGCCGTGATACCTACCATTAGAAGGTATTGGTCTACAAAGTCTGTTGTGCTCAAAGAGGAGATGCTAGCTACCCTTCTTATAGGAAAAGAAATCCTATGCAGAAGAGGCCAAGCTCTCCAGCCGGAATTAGACATCGAAATTATCCAAGGTATCGTAGACCGGTTGCATTCGGAATATGTTCGGCTTCCTGAGAGAGAAGCCCTGCAGGTTGACGATTTAATTTTCTCCCACCACAACATTCCTATGCATGTTGGCCTTCAGTTTATCTCACCAAATACAGGAGTCTCGAAAGTCATGCAGAATTGGACAATTTTGTCACTCATAGCGGCATTCTCAAGGCTTATTGACAATTATCACTCACGCGAGAAACGTGACTTGGCGGAAGAAAAGTCCTTGAATAAAAAGCAGCATCTTCTTTCTAGAATTGATGATATTCTGATGGATGCTTCAAGACCTACTGGGAATAATCGTATTTGTGCGTTACAACTCATACCATTCATCGTATCAGAAACAGAGCCAGAAGTCGGACGCCTCTCTACACTCCTTGGGCAACTAATTAAAAATACCCTCGATGACAATGTTGTGGTCGCTTCTTGGAGTATTGTTGCAATTACCAGGTAAGTTGCACTATTATACCTTGTCAGTATTGCACTATTAACTCGTGTACACAGTCTTACTCTCTGCCGGCACGCCAAATCTGATCAGATCAAGGAAACTTGGCTTCAAGCATGGGAATTAGGTGTACGAAATATATCCTCTCCAGCTATCTCGCGAGCCGTCTGTCATTTTATGGCTGTATCCATTCACTCTAAGTTGTTGAGCTACTCGGATATTGCTCGAACACTCGATTCCCTGGTGTCTTCCGCAGACATGAACGGTCCTGCAAACCTCAACGATTCGTCCTTGAATCTTTGGGTCAATGTTTTAGAACTGTGGTCGGAGGTAAATGCTACACAGAGCCAAAGCCTTGTTAAACAAGCTTGTGGGTGGCTAAAAAATAAATGGGTTCTAGGTATAGTATCTACGTTGTCTAATTAATGGATCAATGCTAATTTTCGGCGAATATTACAGTCCCGACAGACAGAGTTCAAACCAGCCATATGGCAACTTTTGCTCGGCCCTTTCCTCTCCTTGGCATTTTATTGTCATGTTTTGGAGCGTCCATACCGAACCCAGATTTATCCTCTACAGGCCCAGTAAATCGCATCTCTAGGGTTTGGATGCATTTACAACATCATGCAAAAATTCTCGATTACTTGACACTCACGGGCAAGAAAACGACTGTTCATTCAGAAATAGTGGGTAATGTACCAATCTATGTCGCTACTAGACACCACCCTTCCGAGACTCTGGTTCTTGACCTCTTACAGTATAAAATTGATACCTTTCATCAGGTGTGGGCTGCTCTCTGCACTGATAAGGGGCATCATATCACTGTGGAGATTATCCAAGTCCTTACCTCTCTATGCGTCATCTCTATAATCATGATGGAGTTCATACCGCAATCATTAAGGAGCCAGCACACCCAAGATTCCGTTCTTAAACTTTGGGCGAGTTTATGTGATAAATTTTCCAAGGATGAGGAGCACCTAAATACATGTTTAGAGGTGTTAGCTCCTATTGTTCTCTCGTTGAAAGCTCCATTTGACTCGAAGGATATCATTTTGCGTGGCCTAGTCCGGATGAGTGTGCTACTCGTCCCTATACTGGAAAGAGATAGACAATCCGATGAAATCAATTCGCAAGCAAGTGATGCTATGGATGTTGACACGGATTTCCCATCCCAACGGCCCGCGGCCATGGAGTCGAGTCTTATTTCAAAGATACACCGAAGTGACAGCGTTGTCTCACTATTTCCAGATAGCGCCTCCGTTCGAATTGCGACCTCTATTCAGCTTATGGTAATCTGCAAAATCCGCCTAGCTGAGGAACCATGTTTACTCCTTGATGGCCCACTGATAGGATACCTCACAACTTTAACTGAAACAGAAACCCTCGTCGGCTGGAAATATGTCATTGACGTCTTCAAAGGACGGCCAGATGTCTCCAGGGCTAATGCTTGCAGAGTTATAGAATATTTTGGAGAAAAGTGTCTAGAGTCCTATCAGCTCGAAGGGTGCGAGTCCGCAATTTGCGCTTGCATCAGCCTAGTGGGTTGCTTTGTAAACCTTTGGACTGGAAGTGAACGGGACGATCTGTTTGAGTCTGCATCTGAGCTTTATGCATGGTTTACTGACGTCTTATTGGGAGAAGGCCTCGGGTCCTCAAAAGTACTTATAAGACTTTCCGATCTATCAGAGTCCATCTTACAAGCAAACCCTTCTCACCTGAAGGAGACCCGACAAGCCTCTCCTCGAACTACCCTTTTCAGAATACTTCGGGATGGCGACCTGGTAGTAAAATTTCATATATCACAACTTATACCGGATATCTTCAGTCGGTTCGTACTAAAAGAACATGATGCTATTCTTGAAGATGTGATCGACAGGTTACCCCAGGATTCAACGTGGGCTGAAGGAATTGCATTGCGTCTATACCTCTTTGCGCAGCTTGCGTCCCGTTGGCATACACTTCTTCGCCAGAGTATTTACCGCATTTTTGAGACTTCTGGGAATGTTCCAACATCTATTCCTCATGCAAAAGCCTGCCTCCAGGAGATTTCTGTAGAACTTGGCTTGGATGGTCCTAAGGAAGTATTTCAGCTATTTACGCCACAGATCCTTTACACTTGGATGGACAAAGAGTCTGTGACTGATATTCCATTTGCTGTGTTTGGGTATCCTACGCTTCGTGAGCTTCTTGTTGACATACAAGACGAAGTTGTAGGCCAAACTGCAATGAGAGAAAAGGAAGATGATAAGAAAGCTATAGAGGCTTGTCTAGAGAGAACATTCGAGGATTTATTATGCGAATCTTTCTATAAGGCTGAGGCATACAGTGTCGCTCGTGACATTAGCATGCCCCCTTCACAAGAGGTAGGGGCCAAAGGAGCAGAACGTGGGATGATTAACCTTCTTGGGAAAGAGAAATTTTTCCAACTATCAGAGAGATATTTCCCTCAGACAGTCGCTACTCTCTTTGGTAGCATCGATCAAACGGAACAGATTCAGAGGGCATTTGAGAAACGGCCTACATTTCATCATGCATTAGTAGCCTGGCAAAACATACATGAACGGAGCCATTCAGCGTCAGCCCTTCCTCTCAGTCAGCAACCTTGCTTCCGTGCAAGGTACCTTCTCGATGAAATTGAATTTTTGTGCAAGAGGAGTGGTTTTGACATTGAAACTATGTGGACTCCGTCCCTAGTTTGTTTCGTTGCAAGAACACTTTTGGACTCGACGCACGCGGCCCTTGGTTCGCTGCATACGTGCTCAGTTATCCGCAAACTCAAGATCTTGATTTGTGTGGCGGGTCAAATATTACTATATGATTATCCATTTGAGATGCTTTTACGTGGATTAAGCCCCTTCCTTACGGATTTTCATTGCGCAGAGGATGCGATTGGCCTGGTTTGGTATCTAATTGAAAATGGCAAGGCATATCTTTCTGACAATCCTTCATTTACTGCCGGTCTAGCTGTTTCAATATTGGCATCTCTTCGAGAATTCTTGTCTGCACCTCAAGCGAGCACTACCCAAAGAGCTCACTTCAAGGCCACACTCGCCAAAGCGCATGAGTTCCACCTTTGGTTCTCGGACTTTCTCAAAACATATAGCCCCTCAGCAGAATATAGCACTCTCGATGGACCGTCTACGGAGTCTTTACGCAGGATAATCCATGCATCTCAGAATATTCAACTTGTCGGGAACGGTATTAAGGGGACATACGAAAGTGAGCTTATTCTAGAGCTGTTGGGTGATAAAATCTCAGGACGGAACCTGTTAACAGCCCACACGAGTAATCTCGTCTTATCACAACTATGTGGTAGCTTCCAGAGGCCGGACACTTTCCGAGATGATGTTTTGGGTGAGGATGCCGTTGCTGCCTCCCATGCAATGACATTATGGTCCTCCGTCGAAAATCGAACTCTGGGCAAATCATTTCGTCTGTGGCTAGCCCGAGTACTTGGCCGTTCATATGCAGCTACGGGAGTGGTGGATCCGTCCTTTCGAAAAGAACAGAAATCGGAATTCCTTGACTGTTCCCATGATGGTTTTCTCTCTGGCTCGAAAATTGCCATACTACGTATACTATGTGATTCATTGTCTAACAGCAGTGGCCCGGCTGGGCTGGCGGAGAGAACCCTGCAAATGATCTCGAATAACATTACCAGAGATCTTCAGATTGATGAATGCATGCAAATTATACCCCCGACCCTACTGAAAGCTCTAACATGGGAACCATATCAATGCCCTATGCTTGTCTTCTCAGCATCCGCAATGGCCCGTTTTATATCTTTACCACAACGAGACGCGACAAATACGGCCTCTGAGTTTGCTCAACATTTAGCACTGTTTCTATGCAACAAAGTGGCTAATGATGCAGTTATTGGGGCTTTACCAAAAATCATCTTTGAAGTTCCTTCCTTCGCAGTTCAATTACTTCCATATATCCTTCATGACGTATTGTTATCTGAGATTGACAGTAACCAGAAAACTAGAACTGAAGTTTCTGAACTCTTCAAAGAGACCCTTCAAAACAGCAATGACTCAATTATACCCCATATTCGTTTGATAATAACGTGTATTCTCTACCTTCGACGCCAGCCTTTACCCCGAGAGAACACCATGGGTGAAAGAAATGGGTGGCTTGATATTGACTTTATGTTGACCGCAACAGCAGCGTCTCGCTGTCAAATGTATAAAACATCGTTGTTATTTTTGGAAATATGTCACTCACAGGCTGCTGGAGCATCTAGACGGTCATCTACGATAGCACCACCAGAATCTACCGAACTTCTCCATCGCATATTCAAAAACATTGATGATCCAGATTCCTTCTATGGTATACAACAAGATCAATCTCTTGATGCTGTACTGCAGAAGTTGGAACATGAAAGCTCAGGGCTCAAGAACCTGTTCTTCCAGAGCGCGAATTTCGACACCGACCTCAAGCTGGGACGAAATATAGACGACGGGGGAGCCTTTGAAATGATTAAAGCTCTCAATTACACAAATCTACAAGGACTTTCTAGTGCCATGTTCCGTTCGTGCACCCCAACTTGCGCTAGTAACGAGGCTTTTGATCACATGCTTTCAACAAATATATACTTGCAACAGTGGGATATACCGGTACCTACAACGACGTCCCCAACTGGAACACTGTTCAAATCTTTACAGGCTTTGAATAGTTTAGAGGATAGAATTCAGATAGTCAAGTCCCTGGATGATTGCTTCCTTGAGATTATTGACCGTCTCAACCAGGGAAACCAGTCACTATCCTCTTTGAAATCTTCCATGACAGTTTTAGGAATACTTACCGAGATAGACGAAATAATCATGTCGGACAATTCTTCGCACTTACAAGAAGTTTGGGACCGCTTAACAAGTCGTGGGGAGTGGCTGAAGTCAGAAAGGTATGAGCTTCAAAATCCCCTAATTCTCTGGGATAAAACTGAATAGTAACTAATACTCTCATAGCTTTCAAGATATAAGTCAAATACTGATTAGCAGGGAAGCTATATTCTCGTCAATTAGCCGCCGGTCACATTTGAAGAAGATGACAAACTTAAGCTCGAGAGACGCCCAAATTCTAGAGGCTGAGTGTATAAGAGAATCACTGAGAATTAGTACAGATCACGGCATTCCACAGGCATCCCTCCAATCGGCTATGTCATTATCAAAACTGGTTCAACCCTGCGCTGAACTAGGGGTGAAAATTGACGCAGCGACTGCATTTGATCTAGCAAACGTTCTCTGGGATCAAGGTGAAATGAAAACCTCCATCAAGATTCTGCAAAATTTAAGTGGTCAAAAGGACTTGCACAGCCAGACTATTCCCGTGAGTGTAGCAGAGATTTTGGCTAGCTTAGTAAGTCTAACCCCCCGCCCCTATTATATTCTTTCTAGAGTTCTAATGTATGAAATAGGGACACCACATTGCAGAGGCTAGATTAGAACAGCCAGATGCCATCATTCAGAGCTACTTAGCTCCATCTATCAAAGAGCTAAAAGGGGAATACACCGGCGGAGAAGCCGGTCTTGTATTTCATCAATTTGCGACATTTTGTGACCAGCAGCTACAGAATCCAGACACATTGGAAGACTTTGTCAGGCTAGAGCATTTGCGAACAAGAAAGCTCAAAGAGGTAGCTGATCTTGAGGAAATGATGAAAACGTCTGACGGAAAGACGAAGGACCAGCTTCGTACACATCGAACGAAAGCAAAGCAATGGTTTGATCTGGATGATCGCGAATACCAACGACTGAAGAAGAGCCGAGAGTCATTTTTATATCAATGCCTTGAAAATTATCTCCTATCTTTAACAGCTTGCGACACCTTTGCGAATGATGTACTTCGCTTCTGTGCCTTATGGCTTGACAATTCAGATAATGAACAAGCTAATAACGCCGTATCAGGATATTTACGCGAAGTGCCGACCCGGAAGTTTGCTTCATTGATGAATCAGTTATCTTCAAGATTGCTCGATGTTGCAGATACATTTCAACCACTGTTATCCGCATTGGTTCTCCAAATCTGCATCGACCATCCCTACCATGGCATGTACCACCTATTTGTTAACAGCAGGTCTAAGAAGGATAACGACCCAAAGGCTGTTTCACGCTATAATGCAGCAGGAAAAATTGTGGATGTGTTGAAAAAGTCCAAAAGATCAGGTGAATGGCTCGCAATTCACAATACCAGCTACCACTACTTGAACTTTGCGGCAGAACCATTGGAAGGCAAAGTGAAGAGCGGATCCAAGCTGGTGTTGAAGAAGACTATATATGGCACTCGAATGCAGAGCGCCATCTCAAATACTAAAATACCACCACCTACTATGACCATTCCGCTTCGTGCCGATTGTGACTATAGCGATGTTCCACATCTGGTCAGTTTTCAGCCAACCTTTACCATCGCGTCTGGTATTAGTGCCCCGAAAATTGTTACTGCTATGGCATCTAATGGGGTACGGTATAAACAACTGGTACGACTTCAAACTCTCGTATTTGACTCGTTTCAATACAAATTTTTACTGACATAGAACTCTTACTAAATACAGTTTAAATCTGGAAATGATGATTTACGTCAAGACGCAATAATGGAGCAGACTTTCGAACAAGTCAGTGACCTTCTCCGAGACCATAGGGACACTAGACAACGAAAGTTAGGCATCAGAACGTACAAAGTGTTACCACTGGCATCGAATTCTGGGATTATTGAATTTGTCCAAAACACGATGCCGTTGAATGACTACCTGCTACCGGCACATCAGCGATACTTCCCCAGGGACTTCAAACCAAACCAGTGCCGCAAATTTATCAATGACGCTCAGAGCAAATCTCGAGATCAGCGCATCAAAGCCTACCGTCATGTTACTGACCATTTCCACCCTGTTATGAAATATTTCTTCATGGAGAAATTCCTAAATCCAGATGATTGGTTTAGCAAGCGTTTGGCATACACTAGAAGTACAGCTGCTATTTCCATGCTTGGCCACGTGTTAGGCCTGGGAGATCGACACGGCCATAACATCCTTCTGGATACTGAAACAGGAGAGGCAGTGCATATTGACTTAGGTGTTGCATTTGAGCAAGGCCGTGTTTTACCAATTCCAGAGAGTGTGCCCTTCCGTCTAACTAGGGATCTTGTGGACGGTATGGGGATTACAAAAACCGAAGGAGTATTCCGGCGAAGTTGTGAATTTACTCTTGCAGCCCTCCGTGAAGAGTCGTACAGTATAATGACTATTTTAGATGTCCTGCGTTATGACCCGTTATACAGCTGGACGTTGTCTCCTTTACGAATGAAAAAGATGCAAGACGCCCAAGAAGCTGAAAATGGCGCGGTCACCTCCAACGAAGGTAGAAAAAAGACGAACCTCAACGAGCCTAATGAGGCTGATAGAGCTTTGACGGTTGTTCGGAAGAAGCTTGGCAAGTCACTGAGTGTAGCAGCCACTGTCAACGAGTTGATTCAGCAAGCTACAGATGAAAAGAACCTTGCTGTCCTGTACTGTGGTAAGTATATTAATTATCTAGCCATCAATTCCTGCAAACACGACACTAACTAGACTATATAGGCTGGGCTGCATACGTCTAACCTTTACGCATCTTTGCCCTTGGATGCTTTCACCCACCATATATCATATAGTTTACATACTACAACCACAGGGAAGCGTCTATTAGTGTCTTACGCAAAATATAGCCAACATACGTCTTTTTAGCGGGATGTGCTCTGCGTCAATAATTTACTAGTTTGAAGCACACTACAATTTTGCAAACTATATTGCTTAGCTTTGGTACCTTTGTATCTCAACCATACATTATTGCGGGAAACGAAGCAAATTAATGATACTTCGATGTGATATGTATATCTGAGAAAGCAGAAGGAGAATTAGCGAGACGGTTACGCGGACCATAGCCCAACTTTGTGAAAGACGATGTAGTCGCTCAAATAGAGCACTCCTTGGGGAAAATTGGCCAACGTCACGTGTTTGATGCCAGATTTGTTTTTGGTTACGAATCCTGTCTTGGAAATCAACTAACTAGCTAGCTAACTACATCGTTAAGGACACTGTATCCTGAACTTCGCTCTTCTGACTCAATATTCGATACCCCAGATGCACCCATTCAGCCAGCATCATTGAAAACAACCGTACTCCAAGTACGATACATACATCCCCTAAATGGCTGCCTCTGCTAGCCCCAATCGTGGCATTACAGTGTTCTCTGGGGGGAGTGCTGCGAATAATCTAGTGGATGTCTTCAGTGCCCTCAGAGAATCCAAAAATTGCCCTTTGAGCTATATTATCCCGATCAGCGATAATGGTGGCTCCTCGTCCGAGCTTATAAGATTCTTCGGTGGTCCGGGAATTGGTGATGTTAGAAGTAAGTGTATCTGATCTATACCTATTTAACTATGAGCTCAACCAAGGTAACCATGTAAAAGGCCGGCTGGTACGTTTGATCCCAGATTCTCCGACTGATCCAGAGCGAGCTGGAATCAAAACCCTTTTCAATCATCGGCTGTCGTCGAACGCTAGCAGTGCTCACGATGAGTGGTATTCAATTGTTGAGGGAAACTCCTCCCTGTGGCAAGCTATCACACCTGCAAAAAAGGAGCTAATTCGGTCCTTTTTAAACCTGCTTAATCTTGAAATCTTAAAGCGCGCGAGACCTCCTGCATCTACTTTCGACTTCACATCCGCTAGCGTGGGCAATCTGTTCTTGACTGCTGCTAGACTTTTCAGTGGGAGCTTCGAGAGTGCTATATACCTCCTGGCTAGCATATGCTCTGTCCCTATTGACAGTGTCCGAGTTATCCCTGCTATAAATTCCAACTTTTCTCATCATATATCTGCCTCACTTGAGGATGGAACAGTGATCGTTGGCCAAAATAGCATTTCTCACCCGAGTGAGGCCTCCTCTATACAACCAACGCCATCTTCTAGGCGTCCTAGTTTAATGTTAGCCGATGGCGACGACCCGTACCTTGAGCCAGAGGACCCGCTATATGAAGAAAGCCATTTACCCGGGTCCCTTCCAACACTACGCAACAAGAACATCCAGTTTAGCAAGTCAACTGTTGATGAGCTCCCCAGCCGAATCTCCCGTGTCTGGTATATCAACCCCTATGGCCAAGAAATTAGACCACCTGCCAATCCTCGTGTGTTAGAGGCGTTGCGCTCATCCCAGGCGATCATATATAGCATTGGATCCTTATATACGTCCCTTATTCCTTCTATTATCCTTAGAGGAGTAGGCCGGTCGATAGCTTCAGGGCCTGCACGATATAAGATCCTCATTCTCAACGGGTCCTTGGATCGCGAAACTGGTCCCACATCCCAGCCATTATCCGCCTCTGAATTTGTTGAAGCCATTGTACGTGCAGCAGAAGAGAGCTGTTCACATAAACGTCGAAGTTCGGTACCAAAAGATTCCTGTACCCATAAACCCAGCACACCACAAATATCTGCTCCTAGCGAGCCGTACACATCTTATGTGACCCATATTCTGCATCTAGACGGACCCGGCACACCGCAAGTAGATCGCGTTCGCCTGAATGAGATGGGTATTGAGTGCTTGCGGCTGTACGGACGCAAGGTAGTGAATGATGAGGGGTCTGTTGTAGGAATGAAATATGATCCTGCTGGGCTTGTGCAGGCACTAGAGGTTGTGTTAGGCAAGAAGGGGGATGCTATGGTACGGTCTGGGCTAAGTGGTGAAAGAAGCAGAAGGAATACTATGGAAGTAGTAGGTCGAAAGTAATTGACCTGTTAGATAAAGAGGTATAACCATTGTAAGGCTTGTTTGGGTATGACTAGAATATAGATTAGTAGTAAATTTACCTTTCGAATTATCTAGTTAGTGTTATGTTTGTACCGTAGCACGTGTAGCAAATAGTTACTTCTGTGAATAGTACATAAATGCTAGCAAAAAGCGTTACAGAGAAAGAGAAGCTTGAAAGGAGACCAAAACCCCAAGAAACCCCGAGCATGCTATTGTTGTTCGCTCATAACCCGTGACGCTGTATGCAGCAGAGGAATAGACACGTAGGAAAGTTCATTTACCAAAATCTACATAAGAAATATGAGTTCGTCTGCAGATTCTTTACCCCTTTTTTCGAGTTATCAATTTAAACTGCAATGGCACAAGGTTCCGTCTGGGACCGGGGTTGTCTACCACGGTTATAGATTTGCGGCAAACCGGACAGTTCCCTCTGGCTCCCTTTCCAGCACCTTCAAGTGTGCGGCGGGTCTCGTTGTATTTGAGGCTGTCAATAATACATTTATGGCAGAATAGGTGACCTACGGTGAAAGGAATATGTTCAGTAATGTATCATTATGTGGAATAAGAGCACAATACATACCACAAATAGTGCTTGTAGCATTCTCAGGTACATCCATGCAAACTGGGCATTTATACGCTATCAGAATAGACTTTGCTTCCTTGTCATTTGTAGCATTTTTCTGAGCTATGATTGCATCCTCCCGCTGTTTGGCAAGAACTTGTGCTAGCGAAGAGGAGTCGTCGACACTAGTTAAATCCACAGCCTCGATTTCACCCGGAATCATAGTCTCTGCTGCTTGGTGGCTCTGAGAAGACGGGCCAGCTGTTGGGGTACTGCTCCGATTGTTCCTGTTGCTCAACCTCCGGCGTTTAACCTTGCCTCTATTGTCATTAAAGTCAGGCGATGCGCTACGACGAGACCGTGACGGCTGTAATGTTTGTGGCACGGGCCCCCTGCTACTATGTGAGGTTGTAACAGGCGACGGCCCAGTCAGATCAACAGTATCGTTCTCCATGATGGAGGAAAACCAACTGTGGCTATTGATGTAAAGCGGAGGAGATTCAGGTGCGATTATATGGATAGAACACGAGGGATCGAAGGTGCTACCGGCGATAGCGACCGTGGTATAAATGGTTTCCGGAGCAAGGAGAGTAGGTAATGTAAGGCCAGTATGAGATCTAGCTGCAAATATTATATATACGCTCAGGTAAAGCAGCTTGTAGCTGAGCAACTCCTTTGTCAAGTGAATGTAGTAGTTGTAAGGCTACTTAAGTCAAGATCGGCATGTGCGGTATCAGTTGGGTGGTGAATAGCTCACTATCAATAATCGAAGGGGCGTGAAGATGGGCCTGAATGTCAAGACGTCGGCTGGTTTCTAGGTTGTTTCTTCTTATCGGAGTCGCTTTTCCTGCCGCTTTGCTATCGCCGATAAAGATTAATAAGCAAGCGAGATAAGATCACATGACACTGAGATCTTCACGTGATTATGATTCTTTGACTATTATGTAATCTGATCTATCAAAGGCGGGAAGAAGCCCAAAAGGACGGCAGGCAAAGATGAAAGTGACAAAGGGGCCGGTTGGTAGGAGACAGTATTCAATATACAAGAGCCAGATGAGGTGGAAGGCTTCTGGAGCTGAGTGTTACAGAAATAACAGAATGACTTATTGATCGCGCAACCATGCAGGTGTTCAGCCGCGGTTTGCATAAAACCACCGTTTCTTTCTCGAAGACGCGATTAGTCTACCATCCCATACCAGCATGGAAAGTAACTATCAGGAAGTATTCGAAGCAGGCGATCCAGGATGCCCGGGAGGATACAGGAGCTGCGCCGAAGCGGAGTACACTTGCATGTATATAGGACCCTCGCCATAGAATTTGCTGAACAGACTCGACTAACGAAGCCCTGTATTAGTGCCAGCAACTGGCAGGTTTAACGAGATCGGAGTCCAGCAACTAAGCAACGTCATCCACCCCCAAGTGTTCAGCAATAAGCATACGTCTCCAGACCCTAAACTTGTCAATTTAGCTCGAGATCATTTGTCCCGACACGATTTGCTGGGGAAAGCGCAAGATGGCTCTGACCCAATTGGATTCAATCTCCCAGTTCTCAAGGGGCAATCTCTGGATGAACACTTTCATAAGCTAGGAATGGATGCTTCTGAACCCTTTTTAAGTGATGCTAAGCGCTATACAACGGTTCATTTACCCCAGCAACCGCGAAAATGGATTAGACAGAGCGGTTGGACAAAATACAATGCAGACGGAACGGCGCAGAAAATCAGTGCCCCTGATGAGACTATGCTCACTTTTGATACTGAAGTTATGTGGAAGGAACATCCATTTGCTGTAATGGCCTGCGCTGCCGGCCCAACGGCTTGGTACGCATGGATTTCGCCCTGGCTCCTTAAGGAAACCGAAGATACCCATCATCTAGTACCTCTTGGTGACATATCAACATCTCGCGTCATTGTTGGTCATAATATTGGTTATGATCGAGCCAGAATACTAGAAGAATATGATATCAAACAATCTCGCAACTTCTTCATTGATACGATGTCTCTGCACGTGGCTGTAAATGGAATGTGTTCACAGCAGCGGCCAACTTGGATGAAACATAAGAAAAACAGAGATCTTCGGGATAAGCTAATGCGTGGAACTGAGTCAGCGGAGCTTGCGTCTATGGTTGAAAATAAAATGCTCAGTGAGGAAGAGGAAGAGCTATGGGTAGGCCGAAGTTCCGTTAACTCTCTTCGCGATGTTGCCAAATTCCACTGCAATATCACAATAGATAAGGCTCAACGGAACTATTTTGGCGAACTTGACCGAGAGGGAATTAATGGGCAATTAGATGAACTTCTGGATTACTGCGCTGCCGACGTTGCTATTACGCACCGGGTCTACAAAAAGGTATTCCCAAATTTCTTAGAGACGTGTCCACACCCCGTCAGCTTTGCTGCATTGAGGCATCTTTCCACTGTTATTCTGCCGGTTAATGAAACATGGGGGGAGTACTTGAAAAATGCGGAAGACACCTACCATCGTGCGTTGGACAATGTGCAAAAGAGGCTAGTGGAACTCTGCGAAAACGCTCTCAAGGTGAAAGACAAACCGGAAATATACCAAAATGATCCCTGGCTTCGACAGCTGGACTGGTCAGGCCAGGAGATTAGGATGGTCAAAGGAAAGAAAAAAGGAGATCCGCCTCGGCCAGCGGCCCGACAAAAACTACCAGGGATGCCGAAGTGGTATAAGGACCTTTTTCCAACGAGTAAATCAGATATCAACATCACAGTGCGGACTCGTATATCCCCAATCCTCTTGAATCTTTCGTGGGATGGCTTTCCCCTTGTTTGGTCCGACAAGCATGGCTGGACTTTTGAAGTTCCCAAAAAGGAGCTAGAGCGATATGAGAAACAGGCATTTGCGCCATGCGACATGTCGGAAGAGACAAACGCTGCTCTACGTGAGAGCAGAGAGCATGTCTATTTCAAACTTCCACATAAAGATGGACCAGACGCTCGATGTGCTAGCCCACTCTCAAAAGGGTACCTGCAATATTTTGAAAGTGGGAAGCTCTCATCTCAGTTTCCGTTGGCTAAGGAGGCCTTGGAAATGAATGCGTCCTGTTCATATTGGATAAGCGCTAGAGACCGAATCACATCGCAAATGGTTGTTTACAAGAAGGATTTGGAAAAAACAGGTGCGCTGTGCAAAGAGCTTTCGCCGGACTCAAAAGTGGGCTTCATCCTTCCCCAGGTTATTCCTATGGGAACAATCACGCGCAGAGCAGTTGAGAATACCTGGCTCACCGCGAGTAATGCCAAACCAAATCGCGTCGGTTCTGAGCTGAAAGCCATGGTTCGCGCACCACCTGGGTATGTTTTCGTTGGTGCAGATGTTGACTCTGAGGAACTTTGGATTGCAAGCTTAGTCGGTGATGCACAATTCCAACTACACGGTGGAAATGCGATTGGCTTCATGACTCTCGAAGGTACGAAAGCTGCTGGTACAGATTTACATTCGAAAACGGCAAAAATTCTTGGAATTTCACGAAATTATGCAAAAGTTTTTAATTATGGTAGAATATATGGAGCTGGTTTGAAATTTGCAGCCACGCTTCTACGGCAATTCAACCCAAGCATGTCTGAAGCGGAGACAAAGGCCGTGGCTGCCAAATTATACAAGGAAACGAAGGGAACTCGGACTACTCGCAGAATACTGAGTGAGAACCCTTTCTTACGAGGTGGAACCGAATCCTTCGTTTTCAACAAGCTGGAAGAGTTCGCAGAGCAGGAGAGACCACGAACCCCCGTCCTGGGAGCTGGTATCACTGAGGCACTAATGCGACGGTTTATCAACAAAGGTGGCTTCATGACGTCCAGAATTAACTGGGCTATTCAATCATCTGGGGTCGACTACCTTCATTTACTTATCATATCTATGGATTATCTCATCAGGCGCTTCAATCTTGATGCCCGTCTTGCCATTACTGTCCACGATGAAATTAGGTATGTGGTTAGGGAAACAGACAAGTACAAGGCTGCAATGGCACTCCAGGTTGCGAATCTTTGGACTCGGGCTATGTTTTCGCAGCAAATGGGTATTGACGACCTGCCACAATCTTGTGCGTTCTTCTCAGCAGTAGATATTGATCATGTCTTGCGGAAAGAGGTGAACATGGATTGTGTGACGCCATCTCATCCCAACATAATCCCACATGGGGAATCCCTCGATATCAACGAACTACTCTCCAAGGGTGACGAGGCTAGGCTTGATCCATCAATTACCCCATTGTCACCGCCGGTCCCAGAAAACTACAGCTATACCCCACGGGAACCCGTAATGGCGTCATTGCAAAATTCAAGCAGCATGGATTTTATCAAAGCCCAAATTACCAGTGACGATAAGGAGCTACGAGAATTAATAAAGGATTCGATGAAGAAGAACTCTTCCTCGACGTCAGGGAGCACAACAAAATCGCAACCTAAACGTGGATCAAAATCGCAAATACCCCCTCACGCAGAACCACAAAAGGCTGTTTTAATGGATGTCCAGCCAAATCTTCTTCCAAAATCGTCGAACTTAGCCCCCAAACCGTCATCTTTTACAATACATAGGTTCGGTTGGAAACCTCGTTCCCCAGCATCTGTATAATCAAACCATACCCTCTGTCCTTCTCCTCGCTCTCTTATATCGATCGGTTTAACGCGTCAGCTTCACCGCATTCTCATGATGGAATGCCATTTATCTCTTTTCTCATTTTCATTATTTGTTCAGGCATTCAAATCCACCTGATACTACCAACCTTTTAACTCCATCTTTTCTTGTAAATATATTTGTCCCAGTTATCTCATTACTGATATGGTGCATGTTCCGGTGCGTGGTGCTTGGGTCGCTTGGTTATGTATTATAAGGGACAAGATATGCACCATTATGATAATAAATCCCATTCATATACTTATATAGATTACCTTAAGATGCTTTGATATACCTTGTTTAGCCTTGATAGATTAATTTCATCATAGGCCGCAACAGGGATAGCGCGCCAAGCCTCCCGCAACTGCCGAAAGTTCCACCCTAACAAACTTCCAGCGCAGCGCAATTTCAACGTCGATCAACCACGTCAACAATCGCAGTGGTGAAACTACACATGACGTCGATTGGACCTGGAAGGCGATCATATATCATGTCTAGCATGGTAATTGCGCACTCACAAAGAATTTCGATTACTTGAGGGATGCTGAATTTGGCTGTGGGCTTCTTGTTGTCATGGTTCCCTGTGTTCTCAATATACCATTCGTAACCGCGTCAGGATGGCTCCTGGGAGATCAAGTTCTCTGAACGGGAGCGAAATCAGCCCTTGTACTACCGATGTCGAGGCTCAGGCAGGTGGTGAAGCTTTCAGGCTGGAGCCATTTCCGTCTGCGTCGCCTACTTCCACCAGAAACGCTCCCGGTCTTGAGCCTCAAAGCAGTGTTAGAAGGCGCAGTCGGCGCTCTACCACCGCGCGCCCTTATTATCCAGAGATACACTCGCCAAATTGGCATCCAGGTGAAGAGCCTGGAATTGACCCTACGGATCCAAGCCTTCCCACATCATTTGCAGACGAGGGAACCTTGTTGCAAGCCCAATTGTACCAACAGTGTGATATCACAGTGGTGGACTTTTCTCACGATGCAATGCGTATGTATCATTTGGATAACGCAACATTGGTGCCTTTTTTGGAGAGGGAGAGAGAGCCATGGGTACAGTGCCGCTGGATCAATGTCAACGGATTGAGCTGGGACGTCGTTAGGCTGTTGGCGAACCACAAACACCTTCACAGGCTAGCGGTGGAGGATCTTATGCATTCCGTAAACCGAACGAAAGTCGATTGGTTCTCCGACCATACTTTTATTGTTCTTGCAATGCAAAAGTTGATCAAGCATACCAGCCCCGAAGACTCCGAAGCAGAGAGCGAGTCTGAAGATGAAGAGACAATACATGAAACGGATGACTCAAAACCGCCCAGTCACCACTCAAAAAAGAAAAACCGAGGGGTGATAATGACGGCATTGATGGATCTGTTTGTGCCAAAATACCAGCAGAGACGCCCAAGGCTTAATGGTACAAAGAGGCCTCCTACGGGTTCCCACCAGGAAGTACCCGTCAATCCAACTCGAGCCATTCGATCTTTACAGCGCTTTAGAGGAGGACCTAATGAGGACCGTATAGATTTCATGGAGCGTCATGCTGTCCTAGGACCTAAAGGTCTTAGTGTTGGTATCGAGCAAGTTTCTCTTTTCCTCCATTCAGATAACTCCGTGACATCCTTCTTCGAGGCGAGCGCCGACGATATCGAAACTCCGATCATCCAACGGCTAAGGTCTCCTGGAACTATCCTACGACAAAGTTGTGATGCAAGTATGGTATTACAGGCTATTATCGACGCTATCACTGATCTTGCCATTCCGGTCACAATGGCTTACCAAGACGCAATGGGAGACCTCGAAGTTCAAGTTCTTACCGATCCGAATATCAAGCAGTCGAGCAGCCTGTATATACTTACCTTCGAAATATCCGTTTTGCGAAACGCCATCCAGCCAATTATTGGAGTTATCAATTCTCTAAGGGATCATAAGCCGGATCCGAACAGCCGCCCTCAACTAGGGGTCAAAATAGGACTGCCCGCATGCTCGCATACCAATGGCTCTGGTTCTGGGTCTGGATCCCGAGTTGCCTCGAACCAGGAAACCGAAGGAGTTAGAATGCCTTCAACCGTTAACATAAGCCCTATGTGTCAAACTTACCTAGGTGATGTCCTAGATCATTGTATCACTATAAATGAGGGCTATGACCAAATGCGGCGCTCAGCAGATAATATGATTGACCTGATATTCAACACCATTGGTAAGCTTAAACACCAGCCAGAAAATGTTCAGCCAGGTTTACAGGCACTAATTTCTTCACCACAGGGGCTTATCAGAACGAAAGTATAACACAACTCTCACTGGTAACCTGTATGTTTCTACCTCTTACATTCCTTTCGGTAAGTTACGTCCGTGACCCTAGCTTAGAAAAGAACAAGCGAATTAATTCTGGACAGGGCTATTTTGGAATGAATTTCAAGTCTTTTTCAAGCATCCAAGAATATAGTGATGCGTGAGTACATTCTCTGGCCTTCTTGTGGTATCGGCAGTACTTTCAGCTAACACTAACAAAGTTTTTTCTGGGCTATTGCAATACCTTTTGTTTTCGTAGTTATGGTCATCTTGATGTGAGTGCCTCTAGTATTTATGAACTAAATTGTCACTACCTGTACTGATGTACGAATTTCTTAGGCGTGAGGTCATAAAGCGCTACTTGATGAAACTTGCAAACAAACGATTAATCTGGAGTTCAAGACGGCGGCGAAGACCTGTGCGGCAACGACCACAAGCAACTTAATTTTGAGCCGATATGTTTGTTTACCTGCGTATACGATCCCGGTGTGGAAACTGACGAGAACAAGGGGTATGATAATTAGACCATTCTGTATAATACATCTATAATCGGTGTTACAAAGGTTACAGGCCAATAGCCGTTCAGATATTTCGCTGTCGATAAGCCCAGTAAGCCTTCCACGGTAACCTCCAATCTGTAGAAAGAAGTTCCGGTTTGAATATGTCAAAGTCTACCTTTTGTAGTTTATTAAGCCACAGGCTCGTGGAAACAGCTGGTAGCAAAACACAAAACCCTCGTTCGACTTCTTGCAGCTGAGTGCTCAGGCTTGTTGATTTTTCATGTTGGTCATCTTGATATTCGTGCCCTTCTTCTCCCTCATGTTCAAAGGCATGTCCAACGTCTTGACCAGCTCGTAAATTCTTCAGCATTTGTCTGGCAGTGATTAGATGGTCACTAGCACGGGTGGCCACTGTAAAAACAGCATCTCGTAGTCCCGGAGCGTCTGCGCCAAGTCTGAAGACGTCTTCTTCTTTTACCCCTGTTTGTGTCATAACGTCAAGTGGTAGCATGATGGAGCCTTGTCTGCTGTCGCCTGCTATAGGACCTTCGTTGCCCATCCGAGTCTGGCTTGAATGATGACTGGGTGGTGGAGGGAATGCAACAAGCGGCACACCGCGAAGAAGAGCAGTTATTCCAGCTGCTTTACCGATGTGCGATGCCAAATGATCAGCCGTTAATGAAGTAAGGGGCAATGCGCTAAGAGTTAAGTATAGCAGTGTAGAGTATGTGCTTTCAGCATAAGATTCTAATGAAGCTAAGGTGGGATATGATGTGTGCGCCAAATGCTGTTCCCGCGCATTAATCAATCGCATAAGCCACCCTTTGCTTATCTTCGCTCTTCCCTGAGTCCGTGCATCAAGGTCGGATAGGGCCGAGGCCAGAAGAATAGCAATGGGCTCCTTTGGAGGAGTTCCGGCGAGAGTACGTGTGATGGCATCTCTCCAGTACTGCAGCCTCATTAGACCGATTGTATGCGCGGATGTTGTTTCCGGTATCATCGATAGCGAAACATTTAGGGCATGAAGAGCGATATAAAACTTGGTGGAGTGTCGAGGAATGAATGTGCTCAGGGTATAAGACGGTCGATCATATTTTCTAGTTGAGGTTAGCTATCTATTCAAATAGTAAGAGACAATAGGGCCTGAGGCCCGATTGATGTATTGCATACCTTAGGAGCTCAACACAGTAGCTATGCGCCGATTCCAGCTCGGCATTGGAGCTTCCAGGACGATTAGATGCCGTCAAACAAGGTGCAGAAACTGACAGAGAACGAATTGACTGTTTTTTTATTGATGCAGATCGGAAAATCTCCCTGCGGGCATGTCTCAATGTGCATCCAATGCACATTGAATAATTTGAAGCCATCGTCCCCAGATATCCTCGCTTCTGTCTGGTTTTCAATATTCAAAATGTATTCAGCTTGAAAGAAGGTCTCGGAAGCTCGAGGGAACGTCACGTGACCTGAGCTCCTCCAGGGCTGAGCACAACGGAGCAGCAAATGAATGCCTTAATATCTAGCTAAGCACTAGAAAGGCAGATAAATAGGCGTAAAATAAATAATAATAATAGGCTATAAGATAGTAAGTTATTCTATAGCTATTTATTTATAGAATAGTACTTATTAATCGGCCGATAGGTACCTAAGCAAAACGATAAAGGAGGTGGCGGCGGCGGCGCATCCTATATCCGATACGCTGGCCAAACGCCGGCTCCAACATTTTGCATATCAATAGTTACTAAGCTAGATATAGGAAGAAGAACACAGAGAGAGACAGCGAGACAAACAGATAGCAGATCAACTTGAGAAGATACAAAAACAACTTAATCAGCTTTTTGCAGAAAATATCCAGATACGTGAAGAAACTGCGCAGCTGCGGGAAGAAAATAGCCAGCTGCAAGCGGAATTGGAATCCACGTTGCGCACCCGTGCCAATCTCGGTATCGGGAATCTACTCATTGATATAGCGAGAAAGCTTCTGGCCAAGGAGCCAAAAGGGCCAGCGTCTACACAACTTGATGGATCTACAACCCGAATACAGCAACTTGCAGCGAGTCTTACAGGTCGACGCTTAGCGGAGACAGGAGTACCGACAAGGTACCGTAAAGAGCTAAATCGACTCCCAAGTGTATGTATATATATTATACCATAGGTAACTCCATGATAATATCTAAATATAGTGGGTAGAGAAAAGAAATGAATCTGCCCACGATGCAGCATCAGAGCTCGCAACTATATTGTCCCATCCAGCATTACAAGATCTCCACGACAAATGGGCGGAGGCCTTCCCGTATATGTACAACAAGTCGATATCAGAGCTTGTGCAGGACAAAGCCGTCAATGATTGTATCTGGGTCGGCACGAGCGCCAGTGATTAGAGCTTCCTTCAACTTTCAGTTTCAAAGTTAGTCCTCACTAAGGAAAATTAATATTAGAGAAAAGGAGGGAAGGAGGAGAAGGAAAGAGGGCTTAGGTAAGTAGTACTTAGTAGGGAAAATTAAAATAGAGTAGAAAAAATTTTTCCTAAAATATTAGGGTATATTTAGGGAAATTCCTCTAGAAATAGGAGGTATTTTAGAGTTAAAATTAAGCTATAGATTAAGCTTAGTAAGAGCTTCAAATTAAGTCGCTTTTACTTATAAATGGCTACCAGCCGATTGTGTTCTGACGAAGTATTAAAGTCTGAAGCTTTTGGCTCCAACATTATATAGTAAGCTAGAGCTCTGCTTATATCACATTCCGAAAAAACTCAATTTTCCCCTATGGGCGTCTGTTTTAAATAGAAATCGCGTTTAAACCTTCAATTAAGAGGCGCGTCGTTGGAGATGCAAAGTCAGCTTTGGGAGTCCTGCAATCTGACTTCCATGACAGCCACCGGATATGAATTCTGAAGGTATCGAGCAGCGTCCTGCTAAGAAAAGACGATTTTTCCAAGATGAAAGCGAGTCCGACTTTCCGCTCAAGTTCACCAACCTCGACGCGTCGACTTCTATTAGTTCAGGCCTGGCGAAGGCTCCCACACCCGCTGAGGACAATGCCGCAAACAGACAAGTGGGAAAGGCGACCGAAATAACCGATAATGAGCCTGATTTTGATATTGAGCTTTTCTCCTCCATCGTTGGATGCCCGATTTCTGCCGATGTTGTTGCTCAGCTGCGTCGCAAGGCAGGAAATGACATGGAAAAGGCTGTTAATGTCTATCTTGACGGCACTTGGGAAGAAGCTAGCGATACTAAAATGCCTGATGTCTCTCTGCCATTGATTGAGAATACTACTGAAGAAGCTTCTACAAACAAAACTTCAGCTCCAGAAAATGCCACATATGTGACAGCTTCTCAAGACGAGAACGAATGTGGCCCCTTGCTTTCGGATAACCCTGAGTATCGATATCTGGGTGCCTTTGGTGTTGGTGGATGGGCAACCAGGTCAAGTACAAGCTCACTCAAGTTTGGGGAAGAAGTCAAAATTCAGCGCACGAAAACTCAGCCTCAGCCAAAAGCAGGAAAGACCAAAAGAGCTATATCAAATCCTAAAACGGATGTTATAACTAGGTTCACGAACTCCAATGGTGACGAAATTGGAAGGCTGCCACAGGAAACTGCATCTTGGGTATCAACTTTAATCGATCAGAAGATATGCAAATTCACCGCTGTGTGTGTTTTTGCACCGGAGAGAATCCGCATAAACGATACTATATACTTGCAACTTCGATGCTATGTGCTAAACTCAGCATTCAAGAAGCGTTTTTCTTCTGGACTGGAGGATGATACCCCTCGTCTTTTTGAGCATGAGGAAACGGCGGAAGAAAAGGCACTTCGTTTACGCCAAGTTGCACTGGTAACTCTCTTTGATGAGATCTGTCTCTCACCAACTTCCGGGGATGAGACCACTGCAAAGCAGAAGAAAAGTGGGCTTCTTCGTGCTGCAGAAATGGCTGAGCAGGGTACAAAATCGGGAACATCGAGCAAGGATCCGTCGAAGGATGCTGACGAAGCATCCGAAAGCGACGATGGTGAACAGCTTGACCAAGATCAGCTAGATACATTGTATCAGAAAGCCCAGTGTTTTGATTTCAATATGCCTGAAGCTACTCCAGGTGAAAGTTTCAATCTGGAATTACGAAAGTATCAAAAACAGGCCCTTCATTGGCTGATCACCAAGGAGAAAGATGAAAAATCAACGAGGCAAAGATCCATGCATCCCCTGTGGGAAGAATACCCTTGGCCTGTAAAAGATGTTGATGATAAGCCTCTCCCACGCGTACGTGGTAAAGACTTTTTTTACGTTAACCCATATTCTGGGGAATTAAGTCTTGACTTTCCCGTACAGGAACAAAATTGTTTGGGTGGCATTCTTGCCGATGAGATGGGGCTGGGCAAGACCATCGAAATGATGAGCTTGATACACTCTCATAAACCTAACTCTGAATACTTTAATGGCATTACATTGCCATCATCAGGCCACAGTATTACGTGGCCACACAACTCTCCCGAAGTATCTTACGCTCCACACACTACCCTTGTTGTTGCCCCCACATCCCTTTTGTCACAATGGGAAAGTGAAGCGTCAAAGGCGTCGAAACCGGGAACTATGAAGACATTAGTTTATTATGGAACAGACAAATCGGTCAACCTACGAAGTATTTGTTCTCCCAAAAACCCATCAGCTCCCAATGTAATCATTACTAGCTATGGGGTTGTTCGGTCAGAGCATAGCCAGATTCTATCTGGCCGCACAAACTTGGGCGATAATGGCCTTTTTTCTGTCGAATATTTCCGTGTAATTCTTGATGAAGCCCATTATATCAAGAATCGGGCCTCCAAAACAGCCAAAGCGTGTTATGAGATTAAGGCCAAACATAGATGGGTCCTAACCGGTACACCTATCGTGAACCGACTTGAAGACCTTTATAGCCTCGTGCGATTCCTCAAAGTGGAACCATGGTGCAATTTTTCGTTCTGGAAGACCTTTATCACTGTTCCATTTGAATCGAAAGACTTTGCGCGTGCATTGAGCGTTGTACAAACTGTTCTTGAACCATTGGTTCTTCGACGAACAAAAACCATGAAAACGCCGGAGGGAGAGGCCCTTGTTCCATTGCCATCCCGTACCATTACAGTGGAAGAGATTGAGCTGTCAGAACAAGAAAGAGAAATATATGATGTTATTTTTACTCGAGCCAAACGGACATTCAACGACAATGTAGCCGCAGGGACATTGTTAAAATCTTATACAACTATATTTGCCCAAATCCTCCGCTTACGGCAAACATGCTGCCACCCCATTCTGACGAGAAACCAATCCATCGTTGCGGAAGAGGAAGATGCTGCTATTGCTGCCGATGAAATGAACATTTTGAAAGACAACATGGACCTACAGGAACTCATTGACAAATTCGCAAGTTCAATGCAAGCTTCGGATGGCGAGGAGCGGGACCCTACCGCTAATTTCACAACTCACGCACTGAAGCAAATACAGGCGGAATCGAGTGGTGAATGTCCGATCTGTTCTGAGGAGCCAATGATCAATCCAGCAGTTACTTCATGCTGGCATAGCGCCTGTAAAGCTTGCTTGGAGTCCTATATCAAGCATCAGACTGATAAAGGGGAAGTTCCCCGGTGCTTTTGCTGCCGGGAAAAGCTAAGTTCTCGCGATATTTTTGAAGTTGTGAGGCATGAATCTCCAGAACAGACTCCCGCAACACAAAATCCTCCGCCTTTGGACAATCCCGCTCCTCCCGCATGCCGAATATCCTTACGTCGGATCAATCCCCTGTCCCCCTCTGCCAAAACTTCTGCGAAGATCCATGCTCTTATCACCCATCTTACACGTCTTCCCAGAGGCACCAAGGCTGTGGTATTTTCTCAGTTTACCTCCTTTTTGGACTTAATATCCCCGCAGCTGACTACCGCCGGTATTGCTCATCTTCGCTTTGACGGCACGATGAGTCAAAAGGCTCGTGCCACGGTTCTTGCCCAATTCAATGCCCCTATAATTGACGAAGAGGACATTGATGATGATGATGATATTGCACATTCCCCGGACCCTTTTAAGGAATACCGAAATAGGCGCAGGAAGGACAAAGGTTCCCCTCCGAGTGTGCTTTTGATCAGCTTGAGAGCTGGCGGTGTCGGATTGAATCTGACAGTTGCAAACCACGTGTTCATGATGGATCCCTGGTGGAGCTTCGCCGTGGAAGCTCAGGCCATTGATCGTGTGCATCGTATGGGCCAACTACGGGATGTGAAGGTGTCCAGGTTCGTGGTGAAAAACAGCATTGAAGGAAGGATTCTCAAAATTCAGGAGAGAAAGATGATGATTGCCGGCTCCCTTGGTTTGCGGGTCAGCGGTGACGGCAGCGACGAAGATAAAAGAGAGCAGCGCATCGAGGAGTTGAAACTCTTGTTTGAATAGCGTATAGCCATCCCATTGATACCCTGTAATGGCGGCATCCTTATCTTTTTGTATATTACCTTGGGGCTTTTTTTTTTTTGGGCGGCATAACTGACTGGAATCTTGTCTTTCGCTCATTTCAACGGCTGAATCCCTTATAATGTCTGCATATGTGTAAGGTCTCAGGATAGCTACTACGACAGCTATAATGAATTAAGTCATATCTCAATCCATATGCTGTTCATCTTGTATCTTTCATTTCTTCACTGTCTTGCGACATGCGTCTTTTATAGCTGGATGGTTAGCTGGTCGTGGACCATAGAGAAAAAAGTGCGTGTCTTTAAGAAAGAGGGCTTATGTAAGATAAATAAAATACAGAGAGGCTATATTAGTAATCAAGTTCTTCCCTCTTATCCAATAATATTGTCTAGAAATCCTTAGAAATCTAATTACATAATCTAAGTGCTAACCCTCGTTGCGTATTTTATGTAAGTTTTGTTATAAACACGAGTTTTCGCCAGGATAGTCAAAAGTCCATTTAGTCCGCCGCAGGTCACTTTATTTTCGCTTGCAAGTCACGGCACAACCAAAACATCTCAACCTCGTTACGGCTTCATATGCCGAACTCACAGCCCACAATGTCTGCTAATGATCAGTACCAGACGCCATTGGCGTCTCGCTATGCCAGTATGTCCGTTTCTTATGTGCTATCGGCTGCTATCAACCCCGCTATCGCAGTACCCCCGCTATGACCCATGTATAAAGTAGCTAACTACTTGTGCCAGGCAATGAGATGAAAACGATATTCTCCGCCCGTGAGCGAGCATCTACGTGGCGCAAGCTCTGGCTCTGGCTAGCAGAGGCCGAGAAAGAGCTTGGAATCAAGCAGATCAGCGATGAGGCGATTGAAGCAATCAAGGCGAACGTCACCGTGAGCGACGAGGCGTTCAAAGTTGCCGCTGTTGAAGAACGCCGTCGCAGACACGATGTGATGGCCCATGTTTATGCTCTGGAAAAGGATGCTCCTGCGGCCGCGGGAGTTATTCATCTCGGAGCTACTTCGTGCTATGGTATGTTGACTCACTGCATTGATCACTGTTGTTCCGCCGCTAATGGCAGAAATCACGGTTTATAGTACTGCTCGGTTTCCTCGTTGCTGAATTATTTGCCATTGTGTCGAATGGTAGTCTGACATATTTCTATAGGTCACCGATAACGCCGACTTGATTTTTATCCGTGATGCGCTTGACCTGATCCTACCAAAGCTCGCCAAAGTTATCCACAACCTTGCTCAATTTTCCCTCAAATACAAGGACCTCCCGGCCCTAGGCTTCACGTATGCATCTAATTCAAGCCCTATTTCATGAATAACCACTAATCCATAGAGTCAGTCACTACCAAGCTGCTCAGGCAATTACACTTGGCCGACGAGGCGCCCAATGGCTTCAAGATCTCGTTATGGATCTCGAGGACATCGAGTACGTCAGAGCTGGTCTTAAGTTCAGAGGAGCACAAGGAACCACCGGAACTCAGGCTTCCTTCATGGAGATTTTCCACAATGATGCCTCTAAAATCGACAAATTGAACGAGATCCTTTGCAAGAAGGCCGGATTCTCCAGCTGCTATGACATATCTACTCAGACATATACTAGGAAAGTGGACTTGCGCATTGCCAATGCCCTTGCAGCCCTTGGAGCAACTGCTGTTCGTATTGCAACTGATCTTCGTCACCTTGCCCACGATAAAGTGATGGAAGAGCCTTTCGAGAAGGACCAAATTGGCTCATCTGCCATGGCTTATAAGCGCAACCCAATGCGGTATGCATTGCATTTCTTCCTCTATAGTAAATGTCTTATGGGCAGGCACTGACTTTCACAAAATAGCTCGGAGCGAATCTGCAGCATTGGCAGGAAGCTTAGCAACGTATCAGCCAACTTTTCAGAAACTTTCTCCGGCCAGTGGCTTGAAAGAACTCTGGATGATAGCGCAATTCGCCGTATCGACATCCCTGAGATGTTCCTCATGGCAGATGCCATCCTTATCAGTCTAGATAACGTCACCAATGGCCTTGTTGTATACCCCGCCATTGTCAACGCTCAGCTGCGGGAGGAGTTGCCGTTCATGGCTACTGAGAACATAATTATGAAGTTGTGTAGTCACGGAGTTTCCCGGCAAGAAGCCCACGAGGAGATTCGTGTCCTTTCGCATCAAGCCGCTCATGTCGTCAAAATGGAGGGTGGGAAAAATGATCTCATTGAGAGAATCAAGAAAACTGAATTTTTCGTATGATCTAACCTAAAAAAACCCCCCATCCCTTACATCACAGGCTATAACTAATATATATATTAAACAGACACCAGTCTGGGGTGAGATAGATGGGCTCCTTGACCCTAAGCTATTTATTGGCCGATCTCCCGAAATTGTTGAGAGATATGCTGGAGCAGGAGGACCTGTCGAGAAAAAATTGGAGAAATATAAGGGATATATTATGTCCACAGCTACCGCTGAGCTGTCTGTTTAGGGGCCCGTTAGTTTCAACTCCTACAATACTAAGCCAATTTTTATCATTTTAGAAACAGCTTACTGGTAGACTTAAGTGGTATTAAAAATATTGATAGGGGATCAATTGAGTTAAAAGGTTAACTGATACCCATCCAAATTTGTAAATACAAACACATTTTGGACATATAATTCAATCATAATAATTGCATCGCGACTAGAGGATCACAGGCATGGGAATATATTAGAAAATATGGTACATATAAACCATAAGGCATATGAATTTGAATTAAATATCACTCTGGCACGAGGTTAGGTCTTAGAATGCTTTCCAATGTGAAGTGCATCCTTGGCCTTCTGTGCGATGCTGCCGGATCTATGAGTGGTATGTGGCTCATGGGCACCAGTGTGAGGCTCGTTGGTTGTAGTGCCGGTGTTTCCATGGCCGGTTGTGGAAGTACCTTGGCCAGCCTTTGAAGTGCGTTGGTCCAAAAGACCTTCTCATTTCATTAGTATGCTATTTCTGAATGTTTATAAGTAGGTTCAAGGGACATATAACTTACGATCTGCCTCTCTTCCAGCACCTGGCTGCGTGGCATCAAAGTTACCGCCCTCTGCGGCAAACCCTGTGCTCTTAACCGGGGTTTCTCCTCCACTAACTGGTGCATGGGATGGTACGCCGCCAGTAGTGCGGCTATTGGTGGTGGAAGTCGGAGCGTCATGTCTTATTCCAGAGGAAGGCTGTGAGGAGGCTCCATAACCTGTATCAGCGGTGCGTCCCATGCTGCCTCCAGCTGTTTGACTCGTGGATGAAACTCCTTGGTTCATCTCCGATGGATATCGGGAGCCTCCATAGCCTGAACCAGCGTGCCCAGTAGTAGAGGTGCCCTGGGAAATTCCAGTTTGTGTACCACCATAGCCAGCAGTGGGTGCTCCCTGCTTCATTTCTGAAGATCCGTAACCACCGGCGGCAGAGCTGCTTGCACCTGGCATGCTTCCGGCTGTTTGACCTTGCTTCATTTCAGAGGGGTATTGGGAGGAACCACCATAGCTGGAGCTTCCAGTCATATCACTGGTTGTACCGTGCTCTCCATGTGTTGTGCTACCAGAGGGTTGCTGATATCGGGTGCCATGACCGGCGCCAGTGACATCTCCAGAACCGAGAGCAGCTCCACCATATTCACTGCCAGGTTGAGACTGCTTTGTTTGCCCGTATCCTCCAGAAGTACTAGATGGCATATCTGAGCCATGTGTTGCCGTTCCAGTAGTTCGTCCACTTGTATCAGTCATACCAGGCTGTTGCTTCATGCTGGTCATTCCTGGTTCCTGGCCACGGCCCATAGCTCCTGCCCCAGCGGCGCCAGCAGCAACTCCAGCCGCTCCAGCAGTTCCAGCAGTTCCAGCACCACCAAGTGAATCATCGGTGAGCCCACCACTCATTTTGGTTGCCGTTGAGGATTTCTGACCGGCACCGATAGTAGAAGAGAATTGATCTGCTTGCTGCATCTCTGATCGTAAGGCTCTCTCACCATATGCAGTTTTATCTCCGGCGATACCACTGATACCCTCATCTACTCTTTCGGTACCTTGGGTTGTCCGTCCAGGAACACGTCCGGATTCCTGGGGCATATTACTGCCAGTAGTAGGCTTTCCAGCAGTTCTTCCTGTGGTGTCGTGGAAACCTCCCACTCCTTCATCAACCTTGTTTCCGTAGGTTTGTTGACCGGTACCATGTTTACCTGCCAAACCTTGGGTTTCAGTTGGTTGAGCTATGAGTTATCGATAGTTAGAAGAGCATTCAGATAAGTAATGTAGTAGTGATAATAATTAGGAAGAGAGCTATATGTACATACTAGGAGCGTTGCCAGCATCATAGGGGTCGGTTGCTGTTCCCTTGCCTTGGACTCCGGAGGCAGGCTCTTGCCCTGATTTGTGACCAAGCAGGGCATCTTCTGCAGCTTGCAGTCCGCTCTTAAGAGACTCCATGTTTGTGAACAGCTTCAAAATAGCTTGAGTATAGATAAGTATAGATACTTATGTGTATAAGTAAACTTGAAAATGGTTTGATTTTGTTGACGAAACATATCAGCTTTCCACGACTGGAAGGCCCTTATATAGAAACACCATCGTCAACAGCGGGCCCTTCCCAACAACAGGTTCTCGACCCGTGGCGAGAAAGCCCATTGCTCGTTTGCAAGCCTTTGCAAGGCCATCTCCTGGAGCGCTCTTCGCCCCTGATGCCAAACGTTATGACTTCAGATGTGACGTACCTTGGCACATTCCGGGGTGATGACATCATGGCAAAAAGCATAAATATGTCACGTGATATGTATCTCTGCCGCCAAATCTGGGGAGAAGAAGACTATGGGATACGAGCTGAACGAAGAAACAGGCAGAAGGATATCCATAACGGCGGTTGTGGCGAGGCGATCAGCAGCAAGCGATTCAGGTATATGCAGTGGGGGCCAACATATTATACAAAACACAGCCGTCATTATCTCCACTTGACACCAGAAAGCAGGGAACAATATGTAGGGATCGAATAGAAAGAAAGGAATAGAAACGGAAACATGCAAACAAGGAATGATAATGTCCAGCGAAGAAAGATATGCATGGGGTTCCCAAGAAAGAATAGAAACATGAACATCAATTAATCGTAAGGCATTGCGTAATCGTAGAAACGGAGCCCCTAAGTTAGGCAGCCTTTCCCTGATCAGTCGAAGGCGCTGTCCTCTTCTCAGGATTAAGAGGGACATTGGGATCATAAGAAACCTCCTTAACAATGCCTAGACCTTTGGTCCTTCCCTCTCGGAACAGGATTCGGTCTCCAACTGAAAGGAATTCAGGTCTTTGAATGAAGCGGAATGCGACTAAGGCACGGTCTCCAGTTCTGATAAAATCCCGATCAATATCGATGATAGCACAAGTCTGGCTCACAGCCCCAACGTGCAGCATTGCTTGATACTTAGGTTTGATAGTAGTGGCGTGTGAAAGTATCAATACTAAAACAGAAATCAAGGTCAGTAAAAGTTATAGATCCAGCAACAACGTGGGTTGTCATACCTTCGGCAACAAATTCACGATAGACTTTTGGAGGACGATCTAATTTAGGTAGAACAACCATTCCTTTCCTTACATCTTTTCTGCGAACTCCCTTGAGAGCGAAAGAAGCGGACTGCCCAGCTGAACAGGCGTGCACATGGATTCGTTTACGCTCAATGGATTTGATGACGGTGTTTTTGAACTGTCCAAGTGAATCAGGCCCAACAAGCACCGCATCCCCTGTATGTACAGCTCCAGCTTTCACAACACCAGATACTACCGTCCCTACAAAAGGAACAGAAAAGGTATCATTCACCAAGAATTCGAGGGGAGCGCCAGAGTCATATCGGCCATGATGTGGAAGCATATTGAGGAACGTCTGTACCAGGTCAATGCACTCTCCAGTCACATTAGATACCTGGAAGATAGGACATATCCTGTGGTTGACAAACTGCGTAGCCGTGTTAACGGTATCCTCTCGGGATTTGATGAAGATTGGAATCTTATGAGCCCCCGGGGACTTCAAAATTCCAGTCAACTGTTTGACTGTCTGCTGAAGAATATGAGGAGGGCAGATATCTATCTTTGTGATAACTACCATGACGGGGACGTTGAGTGATAGGGCAATTCCCAGGTGCTCCTTGCTCATTCCAATAAGTCCGTTGTTTGCGGCAACCATCAGTAGACAGTAGTTTGGGCTGCTGCTGAGCATACCAAAGACAGTAGTCCGTAGATAGCGCTCATGGCCGGCGAGATCACTGAACGAAATCACCTTGGCAGACTGTCTCCCAATCTCCTCCCATGTCTGTTTTCGGGCCTGGCCGTGGCCTACAATCTCGCCATGGGTATCAAACCCCATAATCTCCATACCGACGGAGCTAGTTCTCCCGGTCTCAATCTCATGTTTATGACGAAATAAGTTCACTCGAGCCTTGCCTCTTCCATCGTCGAGTTTTCCTTTGACCAGGACACCTAGCAGAGTGCTTTTACCAGCATCGACATTGCCAACAACTGCAATTCGGGTTTCAATGACTTTCTCTACCGTCTCAGGAGCCTGTCGTATCAGCACCTTTCCGTAAGCACACTTTATGCGGTCACTCTTCGTCTCAGCCTCCTCCGGACCACCAACATTGTATGTCAGCAAGACTCGACAATCAGCCCGGAGCTCGCGAGCAGCCTGCCGTAGACGATCAAGGGCATAATTCCACTGCTCCTTATTGAATCCCATCCAATCACCGTTGTCTTCTTGTCCAAGGTCAAATATAGTCTCGCCCTGTCCCTCCTCTAGCCGTCCCTTCACGACGCTGGTTATCCGAGAAATATTGCTTTCCGCGTCTGGGGAGTTGTCAAGGAGCAAGTCTTTGAGCTGAACACTAGAGGGATGGTCTGACAAGCCAAGCTGGTCAAGAATGTCGAGTTCAGAGTGGTCATCATGAGCGGTAGATATGGCTGTGGTAGAATAGCCGCTGTCGCTTGGGGCCACGGAGCCATCTCGGTTTTGGCTACGAAGGTACCGTTTTTCCTGCTGCTTCTCAACATACTCGGCAAACTCGCTCAGAGACTAGGCGGAGAAGACATGTTAGATACGCTGGCCTGGATATGGTAAACTGTATTCCCACTAGGGAACCGTATAGGCGCATGAAAGGGGGACGATGCATGCCTGCTCCCGTTTGCGCCTCTCCTCCGCTGTCAACTTCTGCTGTCCTCCGTGAGTCATGGTATTTAACTCGCGATTATAAAGGAGTTATCGTAAGATATCATAATGTGCGACTAAGCGCAAGTGGATTCAAGTCTGTCGTATTCGTACGATCATTCTCTCGCCGTGTGAACGCTGTAAAGGACGGTGTGGCTAGTAGTTATGGGTTAAAAAGACATGGTTTATAAGAAGTAAAGATGATATAAGAGTGAGCGATTCCACTAGAGAGACGTGGGTGTATGGCTGAGTATTTATATTGTGATGAGATGCGAGTTGTCTGTTGTAGGAAGCGCCAGCACGTCGAGCCATGAGAGTCATCAGTTCAAGGTTGAGTCATCAAAAAAAAAGTGAGGCTCCCCAAAGAGGACGCCGACTTTCGACTTGGCACGTCTTTACGTTTAGATGTCAACTATTATATCGTTATTCATTTGTATGTCTTTTAACTATCCATGCCTTTCGTCGTAAATGGCCGATCGCCTTGGATGGATGAGCCATATGCAGGGGCTGCTTCCCCGGTCGTCCACTCTAGAGAATATGAACATAGTCTCACCCACGAGTTACTAACGGCTTCGAAGCTGTAGGCTGTCCCAACACGGACCCTGTGAGAACCGATATTGCTCATTTTCATAGTCATGAGTCCTCGGCCGTCCGTCGTCGGCATTGCTTTCTGATATTTGTCACCATCTCCGCTCCTATCAACTTGATGGAGACTGTGGTGATATTAATACAACGGAGTCACCTATTGTACAGTCATACAATCAGAAACGAGTCGAGAAGTAAAGAAAAAAAGAAAAGAAAATTAAGGAATAACGCGACGTACCCCTGACGAACAGCATTTCCTCTTGCTTCTTGATTGTCTGTAAAAACAGTTAATTCCGTTCCTTCTCTAGCGGTGGGTTCGATATATACCTTAATGGTCTCTTCTCCGGCCTCATCTTCTTCAACAATATAGATGGTCTCCTCCACGTCGCCGAGAACAATGTTGCAATGACTGTCATAGGCCTGGACAATAATATGATGTCAGTACCGCTGCTGCTTTTTCCTTCATCATAGAAATATAATCCAATCGACAATCGAACGTACGTGAAGCCGGCCCTTGAGCTCGCGGTCCCCGCGCAACTTCACAAACACGACCTCGTCGAGTGACAGGCGAACCAGATCCAACGGCTCCGAGAAGGAGGGAGCTGCTCCATCGTCGTCTACTGCTGCCATCGTAACTGTAAACTGCGCCGCTGAATGCCCAGGTCGAAGCGCAGACTGGATCTCTTCTTCGTCTCTCTCGTTGTTCTTCCTGCTTGAAGCCGCAAAAGCACAAAAAGATAAGCAGGACGAGCTATGGCCTAAAAGGGACTAGCGCCGCCGCTCCAGCAAAAATCCAAAAGCGGCAACTCAAAAAGCTCTTCAACATCGCATGCAGTTTCTCCTCGCTGTTGGTATCTTTTGGTCTTTGGCCTGCTCCACGCCAGCAATTGATCTCGTCAAGCCTGTCCGGGAGACGGAATCCCCGATTGCTCATTGTGTTCTCTTCTCTGCCCGCTGCTTTCATGGAGAAAGCGTCGTCGTGAATTAATGCGTGCCACAACTCTGCTAGGCGAGAACCTCGTCTCCCAGTACATATGCCCGTCATGTAGCTGGCGGATAGTTGGCTTCAATGGCGCGCGTGGACCCAGCATTAAACACTCTCAGGCCTCACGGAATCAGCTGCAAGCTATACACTCCTCCTCCCGCCCTTCACTTCGAAAATTACGCCCATCCAGCAAATCCAGCACACCAAAATGGAAATTTATAACCACCAGATTCGTGCACTCCGCTGTGCAGTCGAAAGAGCCCCAGGATAACTCATTTGACACTGATCAAACTTCTTTGCCGTCCAACAATGATAAAGATGCCTGGGAGATTGAGACTCCTGGCTCTAAGAGGAAGGATTCAACTCAGGACGCTATTCGGAAACGGGAAGAGTATATCCGTGCCGTTCTTTTAGAAGGACAGCCGGACAAAGTAATGGCCATCTTCCTTGATCCAGGAAATAACGACTATATCATGCGTCAATTGCCTGCTACCACTTTCATAGAAGCTCTCCGGTTGTTATCTCCAGCATATTTCGTTGAACCATGGAGGAAAATCCAACGGAGCTTCCATTCTTCTGCCGCAGAGTACGCCAAAGTCGAGCCTCTCGCGCAAATCTTCGATAGGTTTGCTAGAAATCTAGGAACGATTGTTGAAGCACGGCGTCGTGCTGGACATACTCTAGGGCTTGCAGAATATACTCATTTACTAGACTGCGCTCGTTCCATGGGAGATGAGGCTATGGCTAATACCTTATGGGAGGAAATGATCGCCGATGGGATTTCGCCGGATGTCCTATGTTATAACTACTACATGGAGGCTAAAGTCTGGAACATGGCCTTCATTCCCAAGGAGAACCACTCGTTGAGATCAACACCCTGGATATACAGGAAAAGACGCTTCAAACGCAGTAATCCGGGATATAGAGGGTACAAGACGGGAAAGGACGGCGTGCGTGATGAAGTACACAGCCTCTTCAAAGACATGGTAGTGGATGGTCTGGACGCCAACGAGTCCACGTTTATTCAGTTGATGATAGCATCGGGTCGTGAATGGGACATTGCAGCTGTTAAGGATACCCTGAAAACCGTCTGGAACATTGATGCTGACCGTTTGCAAAAGGGAGAAGAAGATCTTCCCCCGGTAACTCCCTATCACCCATCTTCTCCCTTACACCCTACCGATGAACTTTTACTTGCCGTGGCTCATATATTTTGTACGAACAACGATATCCCCACTGCACTACAATTGGTTGACTTTATCTCCGTGAATTACAATGTGCCGATACCACAACGTACCTGGATGGAACTATTTGTGTGGTCCTACATTCTTTCCACCAACAGATATGGACAGAATGCAGAAGACAATATGATCGGCCACATTCCTAAAGACTCCGTGATTGGGATTTTTAAGACGATGACTTCAGAACCTTACAACATGAAACCTACGCTACAAGTGTACGATATCCTGACGAAGTTAAACTGGAGCCGCCAAGCGGTAGATCCCACCGAGGGCTTCATGCGTGATGGGCGAAAAATGTTTCAAACGACCCTATCTAAAAGGCGAGTGTTGGCAAAACAGCTCATCCAAGCATGGAAGGATTTAGAACTCGAAAACAACAGTCCCTCTAGTGAGAGCAGCTCCAACCTAGAACAGACTGCGACAAGCAGCCTACGTCGTGTCAACCCCCTATCTCTCACACCTCCACCCACTGCCCCAAAGGCTTACTGGGATTTATACCACCGATTTCAAGTCGTCCATATGGCCACGTGCCGAGAACTTGATTATCTTCAGACCTGGGCTCTTTTCATGCTTCTCCGAAGGCGTTGGACCGGTACCAAGTACGATTGGGAAAGAAGAGGACTCCCAAATACCGTGAATGAATGGAAAATATTTTTACCTCGCATTGTGCGCTATCATATCACAAACGGAATGGTTGAATTTGACCCAGCACAGTTTTGGGGAGACGATCGGCCAGTTCGGGCAACCCTTCATTGCTGAAAGTGTCCATCATCGTTGCAGTGCATGTTGAACTGGCTGCACCCTTCGCACGCTATGTATACCACTTTTTTAGTTGTTTAGCACTACTGTATACCAACTTATGGATCTGTATATTATCCCCTTTTTGTATTTCTTGTTTTGTGATATACATGCCATTTATAACAGCGGAATACACTATCACTTTCTTCCAGGAACATTATTCTCTATGTTCTCCTCACGACTCGTTGGTATTATTATACATAGGATAGAATTAGATAGCTATATACGAAATGCAATTCACTACCTAAGGAGGTAGTCTCCAATAAAGAGTAACGACAAAATTAGCTGTTTGGACTGCTTTCCCAATTAAAGTATTCAGGTATAAGATAAAATCAAGGGTCCTTTTATACAAGTTCTTTCTTCAAGTCGTTAACTACCATATATCTCCCTACCGTAATCCATCCCCATCGAAACCAGACCATCTGACTCTTATGTGCATACACCATTGCCTTCCATCCAGAAAGCCAATCGTCTACAGAATTGACGAAAAGTAACCTGTTTGCTGGAGGTGGTTCGCGGATCCCCCTTAACTCCTGGGTTTTTTTGGACGGTGATGTTGAAAGTGTGTCCCTGTCACCAGAGCCTCCGAATGCATTGCTTATTACACCGCTTAACATAGCTATTGGCGCATCAAAGACGCCTATATATTTCCTTGCCAAATTTGTTGAAGTGAGGGTATATAAGGTGACAGGGCAAGGATGATTAGAATTTCCACGCATTAAAGTCTTTAAGAATGCGCGTGCCCCATGGTAGAGGGACCGGTGGTTCGGGTGGTAGCTAACACCCGACTGATCAAAGGTGAGAAGTATATCGATAGTGGCCATCGGTGCAAACTGAGATGATGCTTGGGCTGCAAGTTGCGGGGCAAATGCAGAAGCAAGGAGGCCAGAAACATTTTCTTCGGACCAGGTAGCAGTCATGCTATCTGGGAACCGGCTTGGATCATCTACAATAAAAACATCCGATTCATTGCGCAAGCCAAGCCGGAGTGCGCTCTTCTGGAGTTCCTGTTTGCGAATATGTCCCAGGCCAGCAGCGTCCCCTGTAATTTGATAAATTAGAAACCATCCCGATGCTGAGTCAAGGACCATTAATAGAGCGCACATACCAGAGCTTAGACAGAGTATTTTAACATGGTTCCCCAGCTCAGGCTTTGTAAGGGCTAGCAAGGTCGGCGCAAAGAACATAGCCTCATCATCCGGATGGGCGATCAGCAGACAAATCCGTTTATTGGTTAGGGTTGGAAATCCACGTCCAAGGGGTGATGACGGCCCCGTTGCTGACAGAGTCCAGAAAATGAACAGAGCCAGAGGGAATATGGCAAGTGAAAGGAATGTAAACGCAGAGTTCATGGCTGCTCTGTGTTCCGTAATGTGTGATATTCAAAACGCTCAATGGAGAATATTAGTTGACGCACAATTCGTGATAGATATATGAAAATAAGAGTCTCCAGTTGTAGCTTCCGAAGTAAGAGACAATTGCATGCGGTAGAATCGCAGAAATGTATTTCCGTAGCATAGATAATGCAATGCGATCTGGTAGCTTTCTCACATTCAACTGGGTAGCTTCACCCAATACTGCATTGCAGTAACACTGCACAACCACACTCAAAACGGAACGATTACTCGCAAAGAAAAACTTCCCACGCGATCCTCATGCGTAGGAGAAGCGCCGTAGCGGCGGCTTAATAGCAACAAGGATGGGCGCAAAGATGTAACGTGTCATTAACCTGGTGGTTGTATCTATTTTTGTGAAAAGGAATAGGGGGTGACGATGAAGCGCTAACTGTAAGCTGTTAGTCAAAATGAGCAGATCTTATAAACCTAGTTCGGTTACCGGAAGCCCTTGCAGCATGCAATCCCTTGCTGTCTCCTCTCTTCATGCACCTGCACGGTCCCCGGCGGCCAGCTTGAGGTTAGATAATTTTATTTTCAATAAATGTACTCCGTACTGGAATTTTTGTCATTTCTGCCGTGCGAAGTTTTGACGAAATCGCATTTCGGATGATTATGTAAGTGAATAAATTAAGTCACGTGCCTAATTAGTCATGGAATATTAGCAAAACTTAACCTAACCTTATTAATTCTAGCTCCCGCCATTTGAACTTAATTTCCCCATCTGCATGTCACGTGAACTTAATCTCGTGCTTTATGTGTTATGTAATCGTATTTTTAACCTCCAACTTCGCCTTTTTTGCATTACCTCGATATCGACGCAATACACTGGGCAGCATCTTTGGTATGATCCTTATAACACAATAAGTCACTTCATAATTTATTTTCTAATAATATACGCTTTTTGTCAATACATTTATTCAACATGGCTACCAGACGTCAGAATAAAAAGCCTTCCGATGGTCCATCAATACCCCTTGCTGCTGTTGACAACAACAAAAAGGCGTCTCCAGGCCATAAGACATTATATGAAATTGCTGCGGAGCGCCAGGCAGAGCTACTGACATCGCAGCACAGACAAACATCGTCTAATGATGGGAAAACTCCACCCAAAATGCAATATGTCCATATGAATGCGGACGGTGAAATTGTTCACTCCCCACTTCCAGATACACCGGAGACCGCACCCGCAACAGCAGAGTTAGAAAACTCCGAGTCACTACCACCGCTGGCGGATACCATATTCCTTTCCCTGTCACTCTCCTGTATTCACTTTACTTTATCATTCCTTGCCGCGCACCAGTTCGCCCAGGAAATCGAATTTGATAGGATAATTTTCGAAACCTTGGTCGTGGCCTTTCCAGTTATGACTCTCCTTATCCATTTCGTCCACGGACACATGGTCACTTTTCCCAAGATATCCTTGCTTTCATTATATCCTGGATCAGGAAAGAAAACTGCGAATGAGACCTCTGGACAACTCGCAACAAGAAAATCTCTGATACTTGCTCTATTCCCGCCAACAGCTCACAATATCATCTTTCTAACATTTTCCGTCTTCTTGGGATCGAGGTTAATCGCTATGGCGAATGAGGCGTCTTACTATGCAGCAATGAAGAAGACTCCGGCCCTCGGCACCTTATGGGTATGGGCAGTTGTGGAGATGACTGCTGGGTTTTCTGTGTTGGGTCTGGCTGTCCCAGTTGTGTGGGCAGTTTGGTTGAAAGGACATTCCCTTTGGTAAACCATCATATATGGCGTTAAACTCTATGCATCACGCAGTCGTTAATTCAACGGATCAATGTCATCAGTTTACATTGTTGAATCCGTCAGTCATTTTCAAGGCTGTCTATTCTATCATAATAACTAAAAGAAATGGGTATCATCGCAGAATGAAATCAGTAATGTACAATACAGATTGTCAAATATAATATGTCATATCATTGCGCTGACTTGGCATCAGCGAGGGCAGCTGCCTCGTCCTCTTTCTGGATTTGTTCCTCGAGTCTCTTTCTCTCAGCATTTTTTAACCGGATCAAAGTGAGCTCCTCTAGACTTGGGCCACTTGCACCAAAACCCCCCTTAGCGTTTGCAGATGAGAAGGATCCAAATGAAGGAGCTTTCCCAACTTTGTTGACATCTTCCGACTTCTCCTTTCGTGGGTCTAAGTCGGCCATGGTGAATCGCTTCGGCCTGTTGGGTGATGGGGGATGTAAATTATCAGGTTCAGAAGCAGCTGCGCCGGCTGACGCTTCTGCCTTGCTGTGCATATCTGTCGTCACAGGAGAAGAAGCTCTGTAGGCATCCCAATCCGGCTGTTTGTTCGATGCCCAAGCCACAGATTCGATGACCTCCCATGCGTCGCCTTTATGTTTGAATCGATCTTCAACAGCTGCATGAGCACCAACTACTGAGGAATAGACAACAACACCAGTAGCAACAGTTTTCTTCTCTCGCTGGTCACCCACCCGTTGTCTCTTATCCTTCAACGTGAAGGCACTCTCCACTTTGCCGAACGTCGAAAATAATGACTCTAGTTTGGCTTTATCCATATCAAGGCCGACTCCCTCTCTTATCCACCGAACTTTTACAGTTCGATCTATCTCTGGCACAGTTGTTCCGCCTACGTTGATAGGGGTCGCACCATTCTTAGACGTTCCTTGCTTTTTGGCCTCTGGTTCCTCTTTTTCTCTTTCCAACCTCTCCTCCTCTTCTAACACTTGGCTCCGCATGCGTTCCTCCTTTTCCCGTCGTCTTCTCTTCCCGTCTTCTGCAAGCCGCCTGATCTCCTGTTCCAGTTTATCATCTGCGGCTTGTAAATCGTCATGATCTCCGCCGGATCCAGTAAAACCCCACGGCCGTTTAACCCCTCGTTCTCTTGCCTCTAAATCCTCCTTCATCTTCCTCCGTGCTCCTTCGAGTAACTCATTCTCCCTCTTCTTCCGTTCTCGAGCTTCCCTTGCATTGTCGTATAGCTGTCGGACAGGAGGTTCAGAAAGAACATCATATGCGATTTGGAGGAGATGAAACTTTTCAATATCTGCCGGTGTAGGATTTGCTATCTTATCAGGATGGTATTTGAGAGCAGTCCTTCGGTATGCTCGTCTGACTTCGCTGTCGACGGCGGTAGGGTTGAGACCCAATAGGCCATAAAAGTCGTGAGAAGACGCAGCGTGCGACTTTAGATCGTCGGATGGAGCCATGATGTCGGCTACAACTTGTGAGAGCTTGAAGTACGCTTACAACGTGCGCAGTCAGCTCTTGCGTTTGGTTGTAGTTGGAAATATTTGGATCTCGAAGAAAGTCGTCTTTCAGCAGAGCCTCAATCGTAACTACCTAGAGTTTGCTTAGTCATTATTTCTCGAATCTAACTAGTTAAGGAGCTGCAAACTCAAATCGTTTATATCACCTCACTACTCCGTAGATACGTATGTATATTTGAGGTACATCATGGAGACTGGGGACGAAGAAGGGGATGAAGATATTATCACCCCCAAAATCCTGAAATTTTCTAATATTTATTGCTAGAGTTTCAGCTCTTTCAAATGTAGGTCCCGTTGCATAAGAACAAATCCAACCGCGAACACAACCAGAGCCTTGGACTTGCATGGGGATGGGATGTGAGCTTTTCGCCGTCCTTAGTTATTATACCCTTCTGTTCCGTGTTTAATGCCCGATACGATATTCACTGGCCAATATAAACCTCATTTTATATGATTTTTATTTCCCAGCGTCGAAGATGTGAATCTGCCACCGGTAGTCGTCCCAATGCGGAAAGGCGGTGTACTCCAGCCCTTTTTAATATGCCGACTTTCTCCCGCCAAATTGTCGACATTCAACATCCATCTGCCACTTTGTTCAGTACCTCCTGTCTCTGGTTCGGGGAATAAAGGCTGAATCCATGGATTTAGTTAACCAGAGCTGCCCCCTGCAGTTTCAAATAGCACTTGCGCTGGCTGTTGTCAAGTCAAAACCCCAAGACACGAACATCCGAGGTTCGACTCTGCTAGCCATACCTTTAGGGATGCACTACCTTCCTGGTTTTTCTAACAAGATATTTTTATAAAGATCATATATTGAATCTCAGAGCCTACATCGCTGCCGGGAAAAGACCCTGGCCTGAACCTGCCTGTCTAGAATCTCACCTTGACAGCACAAGATTCTGGCGTGAGGCATATGAGAAATCGGAAGCTGCGCAAAGCAAGCTTTTAGACAGAATATATGAATTGGAGCAGCGCAATGAAGCACGTCTGTTACGAGATAAATGGGATGCATCCGTCAGTGTGGAGAAGCAAAGCGTGGCCCAGGTTAACCCCAAGCCATTGTCATCAACCCGTCCGAAAAAGAGAGCAAAAACAGTGAGCATTGAATCACAGGCATATGCCCTGCCGTCTAATAAGATACACCCAAACTACCGCTTTAGCAACCTTGAATTTTGTGAAGGCAGTACGGGTACCCGACATCGTTTTTGCCGTAACATTGTGCTAATCTAATTTAGTCACTGCACAATTAATGCGACGTTTCCACACTTTGCAGGCTCTACTTCGAAAGAAAACAAACCCCGAGTCTATGGTGCTGGCTATAGAATCCGTATGCAGGGCCTTGGAAACAGCTTTACTCACGGCAGTAAGGGAAGAAATAGCTCAAAAGCCAGCAGCAAAGGGAGGCAGGCAAATTACTAAGTTTTCCATACAAGACATCTCCAAAATTCTCAATGTGATATTCCCCTCTATCTTACAAGGGTTAAGCAGAACATCAGGTCTACTTGATTCAGGCATAAGCACCAAATCCATTGTCTACCACTCCGCCAAATTATTCCAGCGAATAATGCAGCAGTCATATCAGTATGCACTTCTAAAGGCAAGTCCTGAGGGAACATACGAAAAGTCAGCAGCACAATCTTGTGAGAAATCAAAAGCCAGATCCAACAAGAAAAAGAAGAAACCTTGCATCAAACCTGCTCCAAAGGTCGAGAATATACTTGGCTGTTTCGCAAACATGGCATGTACCATGTTTGGGTCTTTAGATACGGCAAAACCTGAGCACAAAGATTTACTAGAAGGTTTCACCTTTGTGATCCTAGAGCATGTTGGGATGGTCCTCGGTTTCTTCACTTTCAAAGACTTGTCGCCCCTTACAGAGCCAATGACTCCTAATCTCAAATTAACCGTTCCTGCATACCTAACAACTGCTTATAATGATATAAGAGTCCCTACACCTGATATCGCAGAGCTAGCTGCAGTCTGGAACTCGAAACATTTAATACAGCTTCTAAAGCTAGCGATTTCATATATGGATCAGCACCAAAAAACGACCGAAGTAGCAGCAGAATCAATTGACTGTGGACGAGAAAAGAGTTTAGCCTCAAATGCTAAAACAAAGCTTCAAAACACCCTTCTCAAAGGCATATTTGGTGCTGATGATACATCGCTCGGGACTTCGTTGAATTTCCCTCCTGATACGTCCTCCGAAAATATCTGCCCGGAGCCGTCCATCAATCCCCAAGAATCCCCAGGAGAATGGTTTACTCAAGAAGTATGGACACTTCTTGGCTGGGACTCCCTTCTAAGGTGCCGATGCCTGGAGGGAAAATAAAGCGAAGCAGGTGTTAGCATAATGCTCAAGCAACTTCATTTTGTAGTTCAATATCCCTTCATGAAATTATATACCTATTACTATCATTACCCAAAGGGTAATTGACAATTATACTCTACCTCGGTTTCGTTACCCGTTACTTAAATCAGCACACCGCTGCCTTCAGCGATTATATGTATATATTATAACGTAAAGCAGATCTTAAACAACTTTCCCGCTCTTGTAATATACAGAAAGAACAATCTCAATCTTCTATATTTTAGTAGCTTTTCTACTTTCTACTTCCTATTATACAGAGTACGAGGATTCAACCTTATCCAGGCGCCAAATTATACACAGCTCTTACAAAATCACTTGAGGTACAGTTGGTATTTGTGTCCCATACCTGAGGTTCACATACCAACGTCCATTCCCTCCACGTCCAGCTTTGTTTAGGCCTTCGGTTGACGATGTCGTGCACCACCACTAAGAATATATTCCTTAATCCAAGGAGGAACAAATGCCTTTACCTTGGGTTGATCTGCAATATTTGCGCCGCCCACTTCAGTAGAATCCCAGGTTATTTTAAACTCCTGGTTAGCATCATACTGCGTAGATTCACCGGTTAAGGCAATATCCGTCATAATCTCCAAACGACATACAGCCAGTCCAACATTCCCGATACCGTTCAGGAATTTTCCTGCACTTCTGCCCTTGCTAGCTCCAACTTTCGAAATATTAGCCTCAGCACCAGAAGGCGGCGGTGTTATACTCGTGTCTGGATCATAAATTGGCATATCTGAAGTGGGCAGTGTTTTGGTAGATTCATAAAGCTGAACGGGCAGAATTCTCTTGCGTACTACACCCCGATGGTGCGTACGAATGGTTAATTCTTGGCCAACATAGCAACCCTTACGGAAGTCAATACCATTCATGATATCGATATTGCTATCCATGGGTAAGGCAGATTCTCGAGGCATCTCAATCTGCCCCTCTCCCACTCCTCGTAACATTCGGCGTAGCGTATAGGCCTCGATCGAGGTTTCATCGCCTGGGAAGGCTTCTGTGATCCGTGAGGGTAATTTACCTCCACTGGCAATGACTCTGTATCCCATGCCGGGTGCTCGACCATCAGGGCATACAATGGCGTTGTTTTCTTTGAAGGCCTCACTCTCATGCCAAGCAGACGTGTTTCCATCGTCCCAAATCGACCAAACACTTCGCTCTCCGTCATCAAGCGCCCGAAACTTCAATTTTGAGCGAAGTTTGTGCCTTCTAAAATGCTTAAGCAGGCCTTCAGAGGTCTCCTTGTCCAATTCAATCAGATATTCCATTTCACCTGCAGGGGAACTGGCAGTTTCGAACGGGTATATGAAGACATCGTTAAGAATTCTTCCCTGGGAGTTAAGGAAGGCCGCATAGAATGGAGAGGTAACCGGGGGAGAATTCTTCGGAACCGAAAGGTTTCGTGTTATCAAGCCCTGAAGGAAGCTTGTACTATCAATCCCAGAGATGGAAATGAGAGATCGATTGTTTAGATGTGAGTAGCCCGACGGAGGTGGTGCTGGAGGGTTCGTGTGATTGTGGCGTATTTGGGAGTATATCCGGTTTCTTAACAGTTGACGACGAGTGCGTAACAGACATCGCCCACAAATCGGGCTTGAAGTAAGGCCTTGCACCATTGCAGCTCGCTATTGACGGGTGTTGGCTTGGATAACTATCTCTAGATACCGAAGTTGTTGTCGGTTTTCACCCCCAGCCTTCACCAGATCTTATCGATCTTAGTTAACTAAGTTAGTTAGTTAACTAAACTAAAAACAGCAATAACTAGTTGGTTACTTGTCAAAAAAACTTCAGCTCTGCCTACCATTAGTGTGGGCTCACTCCTCTTGGTGTAGTGGCAGACTTTGATGGTTATGAGTCCGGCTGACACTCGATAGGGCATACAAGACGTATCGCGTATCAACTCTCCTCACGCCGACTGCAAATTTCGAACAGCAGCACCAACGACTCATATGACCTTAGCAAGATGGACGAAGACACAAGGACCACCAGTGTCCCTATCCTGAGGTTCAGACAGGACTGGCATGTCTGGTACCGAGCAATACACGACTTCGGAAGGGCAGAGGGAGTATGGGACCTAGTAAGACCAGACCTAGAAGGAGAACCAGCCTTCCGAACGGAACCTGCACCAATTACAAGACCACCCAAGGATACAGACGCCAGAACGTGGGCCATGTACGAATTAGACCTCGCAAAGCAAGACAAGGAATTCGACCAGTACGATAAGGAGCAGGATGCACTATGCAAGTTTCGATACCACTTAGTATGTAGCGTACAACACCCTATCATGACGAGTCTGGCGCTAGAAGAACACTCCCACGTCATCTTTAAAAAGCTAAAGGAACGCCTCTGCCCAACAAAGTCGGAGAGAAGACGAGATGTAAGGCAACGTTGGAAGTCTTTAATGGAGGACCCGCCGGCGAAGGACGTTGGTATTTGGCTTCAAAATTGGGAGAATACCTATGAAGACGTGAAGGAACTCGGTATATTGGATGAAGAATCCGCAATTGACGACCTTATCGAGGCCAACGAACAAATCGACCCCATGTACACACGTGTTTTGGAGATCCATAGAGAAGACACCAATCCCCAAGGTGAAGACCGAGTCACCTTTCACCAAGTCGTCAGCAAGTTCCAGGAGCGCTACAAGAAGAAGCCGCCAGTGCACAAGTCCAAATATCGAGTCTACCATTAGAGATTCCGGGATAAAAAGCTAGAATAGGTGTTCTTCTATGCCAAAGAGCTTGTGAGGAGTCCACCTGTCTCAGCCATAAACTACGTTATGACTGGGGGGGGGGGGATTGTGTCAAAAACTTCAACTTCAGCTCTTCCTACCATTAGGGTGGGCTCACTCCTTTTGGTGTAGTGGCAGACCTTGATACTAATTAAACAAAATTACGACCTGTTTCAATATCTTTATAAGCGAGAGAAATGAATAGGGTCCATTTGTCTAGTTAATTATCAAGGAAATAGTCAGATCATAACACAATATTCCTTACGTACATCCGAAATGCCGTTATTCAAATCAAAACTCGCATTGTCCCGATCAATTAGTTAGTTAACTTGTGTGGTCTTCCCGGCTAACTAAATAACTAATTACCCTAGCAGAACCCGACAACACCTAAAGATACAATCCCAAAACAACTCCAGGGTCCTTGGAGCGAATTCCACATAAGATCTCGAAGATATAGGACAAGAATAACACAGAAAATTATCAAGTGTTCACAGACCCCCGGAGGAAGCCACCAAACAGCCCAGCGTTGGGCAGCTTTAGTTATACCCGTCAAACTAGCGACATCCTCCTTGACAATCACAGCCTATGAAGTTGCAATCTACCATGAGCAATGTGTTAGAAAGGCCCTTTATCAACTCCTCTCCTGGAATAAGGAGACTTGTTACCTCCGACTCCGCAGTATGGTTTCCCTGGCTTTCCATCTTTGCACATCTATATTTGAAAACCAATGAGAACAAGAATTTGAAAGGAGAGTAAGGACCTCGGAACATTCTCACATTGTCACGGGAGGTATAGCAGCAATCAGCAGCTGCATAGCAAGCAAATATTGAAAGTACTGAAAGGATAAATAATGAGGCCTTCATGTTGTGGGTTGAGGGCTGTTATAGAAGCTGGCAAAGTCTAATCGTTTATCAGGAAAGCCCTCTCGGAGATATTGGCATGCAATGAGGGAGGTATTTATAGATATATAGAGAAGGCAGGTTGAACGACTGCTCTTAAGTACTTTCGTATATACGATATATCGTCGGATCAATACTCGAAAGGGATGGTTATCATGTGGCAAAATATGCTATTGATTGCTGATAATCAGTCTCCGCCATCTAAATAAACTGGGAGGATCAACGGGGCGGAATTGGCTGTATATTACAGTTCTTGTTCCTTTCCATGTGTCCATTCCCAGTTCAGGGATACGGTCTGTTTATCAGGGGCAATTATGCCGCTCAGGCACATAAACTCACTGAGCGAAATAAACCTCTCTCACGCTACGTATGTATAAGGTGATTGTGCCACTCTGTCATCATCACGTTGAAAGTCCTCGTACAAGAAGTTGATAGCTCCATCCTCTAGAAATGGTTTCCCTGTGCTTAAATAGAGTGTGATGGACGTTGAGTGCTAAATTTCATAAGAATAGCTTGCGCAATGGTCCCAACTTGTATTTAGCCACCAACGCTTAACTATAACCAAGACTCGGAGCTTTGTTATACAGCACGGCAGAGCTCTCTAGTGCTTTTAATGACCTCGCGCGGCCTATGTTCCATAACCATGGCATATTTATCCTTATCCTGATATTAAAAGGGAGAGTCGCCAGCCAGGCTATCCATTCTGTACGAGATGTTGTATAAGTACAAACATAAGAGTGAGCAAACCACTGAACGAGTTTTGTTACATCTCGTATCTATTTCTTGCCCGTAGCAACATCCTCTAGATATCCAATTAAAAACGCCTGGTTAGAGGGAGACGTTGCACCGCTCCGTCTCTCAGATCCACCTTCCCTGGTAGCCTCTCTCGGGCTGTTGAGTGGATCGGTAACAGGGCTTATAAGGGTCGAGAAAGGAGGAGAAACCAGGGCTGGAGATTTAGCCTGCCTTGTTATATCCCGCTTTATACTGGTGGGTTGAGGTGGAAGATCTTTGTTGAAGAGAGAAAGAAGTGTTTCTTTCTGTGCAGCCGACTGACTTGGTCGTTGATCAAACTGTGGTTGCGGTAGACTCTTCTGCACCACCTCATCATCACTAACCGGTGGTGGTTCAGGCTTTGAGAAAGCGCTCACGGTAACCGTAGAAGTAGGAAGGTACGCATCAAGATTATCCTTGTCTGGACGACGGAGAATCTTGGGCTTAAATGGTTTGGTTAATTCTGAAAGCTTGACGTTAGGTCTAGGGGCTGGAGAAAGGGTATTGGCCTTCACTGCCACCGGTACGCCCTCATTGTTATTTGATGTTGGGCGAGGAAGTATTTTGATATTTGACTTCATCGCTGATGACTGAGAGGGAGTATGTTTCTTCTCCCTGCGTGGGCTGCGTGGTGACTTGGCAATCCCCTCAAAATTAGGCAGATTCAAGGGTGCGGATAACGTGGCTGCTGTCTTCCCTACAGTAGGCTGAGAAGGGGTCCTGGGTCGATGTGGATTTTGCAAAATTACTGGCGCCTTAGCTTGACTATCTAGAGATAGCCCGGGAGGATGCATTCCTGTTTGCCCCTGGATCCTCGGGCTATTCTGAGTCGCAAGCTCAACACGGCCCGGTGGGTGCAAACCACCGCCATTGTGAAGATGCGAGCCGCTCGGCTGCTTTAGCATTCTCAGAAGTTGATTTTTGTGCTGAGATTTTGCATCATTTTGTGGAAATGGTTCAACTGGGGATGCGGGTATGGAGCCTGGCATAGTTGCAGTGTTCTTAACGCCATCACCTTTGAAGACACTAAGCAATGCAAGAGAGTGGCTGTTAAGTTTTGGTAAAGGCAACGCATTTGCTGGAGGCACGGAGGGCAGGATTGTTTGCAATGTTTGGTGGTTTGAAGCAAACTGGGGATCTCCAGTACGGTGGTAAGGCGGAGTTACATGCTGAGTGCTGGACATTGGTGGCTGTGTGCCAATTTGGCGCAACGGTGGTGGATAAGCAGTAAACGGCGGCTTAGCTGGCTCATGGGGCATTTGGTGAGGTGCCTGCCCTACATATTCATGCCGGGGTTGAGCAGCAGATTTCTGTTCTGGATAGGTATATGGCGGTTGATTGCTTATTTGGTTTTGTGGATGCTGTGGGTACTGGTTTCCGGTACCAAATTGTGTTATGGGAGGAGCAAAGGCCTGACCAGGAGTTGGCTGTGGTGTTGTTTGCTGCGAATGTATGGTTGGAAGTGCTCTGCTAGGATGTACTGGTATAGGCGCAAGGGGTGGGTTTTCAGGGGGGTGGGTTTCAGATCCGTTCCTAAGTAACTGTAGAAGGGCATTTCCTTTATCAATATTTGAAACATGTTGATGTTGTTGTTCATGTTGTCGGTCAGAGTCGGGTTGCTTGGTAGGGGCGGTAGAAGTCGCTGATCCAATGTTAAGCAAGCGCTTCAAATGGACCGTCGGATCAAGGGGCGTGGACACCTCAGGTAAATCTGAATGAACAGGTGGTAGAATTGGCATTGTTGGAGCGGGATGGGTCGGGTATTCTTCCGTTATATCTTGGTGGTCTTCAGTTCCTTCATCTTCAGTTATTATCGCCCCGCCCATCTCCTCTTGAATGGCTATATGAGGATGCGAGATTCGGGCCTGGTCCAGCTTCCTCTGTTTGGCAATCCACTTCTTGAGAGGGCCAAGAAAGGTTGCAACCATGTAGAACCTATTGTTGTTTTGATAAGGTACATTTTCATGCTGCTTGTTCTTTTTCAGCGTTGGAAGGTCAGAGAGCTTATACCATTCTATTTTGCTGATTTCCTTTCTCGTCCTGGGCTCGAAGTGGGTATCCTTGGGTACTCCTCGTAGTACGTAGAGTCGCATATTCTGCTCACGCATTGGTATCTCGATATATTTGACATTCTTTTCGTCCTTTATTAGGCCAGAAGCTCTTATATCAAAGCCAGTTTCTTCGTAAACCTCTCTGACAGCGCAATCCAGATCCTTTTCTTCCTTATTTATTTTACCACGAGGAAACGACCAGGTTGCCCCTTTCTTCCAGCCTTTGACAAGCACAACCTCGTCCATTTCTTGGTTGAGAAGAATAGCCCCACGTACAGGAACTCTTGTCTTGTATGCCAGGAACTCTGAGAATGCAGTTGAATGGTGATAATGGGACCACTGCGACATGAGAGGGCAGTGTTGAAAGATGCGCAGGGCAAACTCGCGGAGTTTGAGGGACGGCAGGTTTGGGTCGAGCGGCCGAATAAAGTCCTCGTAAAACCACTGAGCCTCCTCGACCTGGAAACATATTCGCTCAACGGATTCGAGTTCTTCCCTTGGGAGGTTTACAATGAACCGAACGCAGAGGTCATCCAGCCCTGTTAGATAAATGTATCATCAGTTTGACACCCACGAACTCTGAACATCCATTTGGCAGCATTCCTTACAGTCCTCTAGTCGCATATTGATTTCTGTCATGGTTCTTGGGGCAATAATGCATTCCCGAGTGTGCAAAGTGTGATAGTGTGGGCGTAAAGTCCGGACTTGGAGCTGGAGGTTGCTGAGCTGTTCGAGCTTGCGAGCCAGTCAGCTACAAGTGAAACCCGGGCTCGTCAGAACAACGTATTCACTTGCGCAGAGACAGCGAAATAGGAGCGTGCGCTTGCTCGATACAAAACAGATGTCACCGCGAAAATGCTCGACTGCTTGTGTCTATTTTCCACCTCGTCTTCGGTCTTTCCCGTCCGCTGGTGCCTGAGGTCGTCCTTGAAAGTTGGACGTCGCCGTTAAACTGCCCTGCTTATGTAATTACAGCATGCGCCTCGACCTGCTGAGCCACACCTGTGGCTGGTGAATGAAGTGTTACCTAATGTAATACTTGTAGGCGTCTGCTTAGTCACCCAAGCGGTATGACGTTGGTCCGTCCACTTCGCTTTCTTCAAAGGTTGCGTCTTTGCCGCCCAGGAGAAGGTCCTTGCAAGCGGGATGGATCAATAGGATTGCTCGCCGGGCCCTCCGCATCCAAGTTCTCTGACACTGCCCCATGGTGCGGGTGGCATATATTTATACAGCTCCT